TGTTCTTTTAAAATAAGAAAGATAAGAAATGTTCAAAGCAAATACTTAACAATTCAAATATCATTTATTTATCTTTACTCAATATGTATTATTATAGTTCAAATCTCTTAAAAAATAAAATATATAAATAAGCCTTCAATTTAATATGTAATATTCTGTTTCTCAGAAAACATCACCACAAAAACAAAACAAAAAAAAACATAAACATCAACACCAATTTTTTTTGTCTAAAACCACTACGATTATAAATCATTTTCACAGTTGAATAAAATCAATTCTATTCCGAAAAAACAAAGACACATTATTAAACAAATAATCGACGAATAATTGCCAAATAATAAAAAGTCATGTCTGAATCTATATAATGATACTCGCACAAATAAATTATATTGTATAATTATCTTTTCACATACACATAATAATAATAATGATTTATCGAGTTAAGAATCATTATCAATTATTAATCACGTTGAAAATAAAACAAAAAAAAAACAAAAAAGAAAAATCTTCTTTTAAAATTCCCATTGTGTTGCTTGTCGACTATTGTGACATGTTGCTTGTATACTTCCATTTTGTTCTGCTCGTAAATACATTCCATTTGATGCTTTAATAACAACACGAGAATGTGTTGAACATAATTCTAATGCAAATTTCGATGGTTCATATCCATTAACACTGATATTTAAATCATTTAAAACTTCCCAATAAAGTCCATCAGATCCTATTGAACAAAAAAAAACAAAAAGAAAATAATATAAAAACTGAATTCTCTATTGATAATTTTTAATTTTCTAAACCTTTAAGATAAACAATTCCTTCATTATGTGTTCGAACATCTGGTTCTTCTAATGTAAATAATGTAAATAAAGATTTATTACATTCAAGTATACGTGATTGTTTATTTCGATAACCAATATGACCAAAATCACATTTAAATACACAAAATGGACGATTAATAAATTTTATTAAAAAATAAGCATCATTTGAACTTATTTGATCACTTACAACACGCATATGTCCAGTAGGATGTGGAATAATAAATTTTCCATTCGATGCTTGAAATGTTATACGTCCATTACCTGCTGATTCAATTTGAAAACTTGTTTCAAGAGATCTAAATTTAATTTAAAAATAAAACAAATAATCAATGATAATCATCATTATATGAATTAAATATTTTACTTTTTATCGGCTGTTGCTTGTACATTAAAACCTTCTATTTTCCAATATTTATTATCATATGTTCGTATATGATAAGCATGAAAATCATTATCATCATATTCAAGTTGAAATATACTACTATGATCACGTTCATATTGATTAGCTGATAAATCAATACCTTGTTTTGTTGAAACAAGTTTTCCATTAGGTGCAATTAAACATATTTGTAATTTACTTTCTTCTAAAAGAAATTGTTCATCTTTACCAACTATTTTATTTCTTGTCATTAATATTCCTAATGGACCAATAGCTGTTAAATAATATTGATCACAATCTTTAAATGCTAAACATCCTTTGTAAAGTTCAATTGTAAATAATGTCTCATTAGTTTGTTTTGTTGTTAATTTTCCATCTTTATGAACATAAAAACCATTACTTGATCTTATATAATAATGATCATTATGATATTCAACAGCAAGTATTGCATCACTACCCCATGGAATTATTTCATCAATATGAATTTCATCTTCATCTAATTTAGCATAACGTTTACGAAGAACATGTTTTAAATTAATCTAAAATAAAAGAAAAAAAACAAAAAAATTGATTGAAAGAAAAAGAAAAAGAAGAAAAAAAACCAAGAATCGAATAGTTTACTTGTGGATGAACAGCTAAATGAGGTGACCACCATTCTGGTGTTTTACTAAAACAATGAAGTTGATCATTATCTCCACCGAAATACATACCATATGTAAGAGATTTAAATGCCCATTGACCATTTCGATTATATTCAAGTTGAAAATAATAATCATCATTTATTTCATTTGAATCACATTTTAAACGACCATATTTATCTGTAGATAAATAATGATTTAATGGTGATTGAAGATAAACACAATCATTTTGACAATTATAAATAATTGTCCATATTTGTTTCCGCTTTAAAGATGTACCAGCTTGAAAGAAAGTTTTTTAAATAATATTGAAAAAAAAAACAACAAATTTTAAAGATACTTACTTGCATTAATTTTACAACCAAATATTTCTGATGTTAAATATTTTCCTTTAGAATTTCTTAAACCTAAATACCAATTAGATTTTTCTACTATTGTATTGTTCAATGAAACAGATGCATGATGTTGATAATGACTATTGTCATCTTTTATAGGTTTTTGATCATAATCATTTTGGTTAGTAGAAGATTTTTTTAGTACTGATTGTGATAGATGATCTATTGTTGATGGAATAAGTGATGGAGGTGATTTAACTAAAGGCTTTGGTCTAAATTAAAAATAAATATTAATGATCATGTTTTTTTATTTAAATAAAATGAAACCTGAGAGCTGAATGCATTATTGAATATTGTATTTAATCAATAATCATCTTGTTTAGCCAATATATATTGTCATATATCTATCTATTGAAAAATGACAAAACAGATTTCTCTTATTTGCTCTCTATTTTATTTCTTTCTCTCTTTCTTGCTTTGTTCGCTCCTCCCTCTTTTGTGAGCCTTTCTTAGTGTGAGTTCATCAACATTCTCATTTATTGTATTCGATGACAAGAGCAAAATTTCTTTATTCATTTTTTTTCCTTTCTTTCATTCGTATACGTGTGCATGACCGTTGAACGCAGTATCATAATTAGCAGACAAAAAAAAAAAGGAATAAATTTTGACAGTATTAGTTTTCGTTTTGATGAGTCATTGAATGGCAAAACAAATGATTTGAATTATTTGACCTTACAATTGTGATCGATCATCTCTTGTCAAAGAACGCAACCTTATAACTGTTCATTTATATTGATAGGGAAGAAAAAAATATATTATCAAGGCCAGAAAAAGAGCAACGAACGTGTCCGAGACTAAGAACAACCGATTGGTACTATAACCATCTGTGTCTCTTTTGTCACATATTGGCTTATTTCTTTTACAAACATACAAAGCTTGAATATGTGACTATTATGAAATAGCATATGATGCTTGTCATAGAGAACGATCAATGTAACATCCAGCTGATCCATTTCATAAAATGCACATGTAAAATAAATAAAATGAGAGTCGTAAAGTCATTGTTACATCATCATTTCAATCAAGATGTTTCGTCGATTAAAAATTGTGCGTTTAACTAAAAGGACGATATCGCATAAAACTACATTTCATTCTGCTTTTGATCTTCAAGGTTCATTCTAATTGAATTATATTTAGAATGAAAGATCATGAGTTCATAATCAATTTGATGCTAAAATTGAGGCATTTTAATTTGATCATAGTTGTGAACAGGATGTGTTTGCACGCTATGATAAATGGGCAGTTAATCATTGATACGAGTTAGCAATGTATGCATTCATTTGACAGAAAATGAATAAAATATGAAATGTGATTTAAAGTTATTCTGATAGCTCTTTGTTAACGCTACATATTTATAATACGAAGAATCATTCATTTTAAAATAATGTTTTGAATCTACTATAGATCGTATGCAAATCTTTTATTGTCTAAATGTTGAGTCTAAAATATTCATATACATTCTATTTTGTTGTTTAATTATTGTTTTAATTTTACTTCAAAAACAAAAAATTTCATACTCGAAAAGGGCACAAAAAATTGAGTCGACTTATGTATGTTTTAAACCTTTTGTACGACTTTTTTTTCGGTCAAATTTTCACCTCCGGATTCCCTCAGACATTTGTAAAAAAAATGAATTTTAGTTAAAAAGTTATTGTGATAGCGGAAAGCAAGTTCTAAACTTGCAAAATGCCATTTGAACACAAAAAGACACGTGATTAAATTTATTTTCCTATGCATCCTCGAGGGGTCCAGGAATGAAAATTAAATCAGAAAAAATAGTTGCACAAAAAGTTTGAAACATACATAAGTTGACTTCATTTTTTGTGCCCATTTCGAATATGATATTTATTTGAAGTAAAATTAACACAATAATTAAACAATAAATGAAATGTATATGAGTATTTTAGACTCAAAATTTAGACAACGAAAGATTTGCGTACGATCTAGTGGATTCAAAACATTATTTTAAAATGAATGATTCTTCGTATTATAAATATGTAGCGTTAACAAAGAGCTATCAGAATAACTTTAAATCACATTTCATCTTTTATTTATTTTCTGTCAAATGTATGCACACATTGCTAGCTAGTATCAATGACTGACTGCTCATTTATTATATTGTGAAGACAGATCCTCTTCACAACTGTGATTGAATCAAAATGCTTCGATTTTAACATTAAATTGATCATGAACTCATGATCTTTCATTCTAAATATAACTCAATCAGATTGAATCTTGAAATGAAAAGGGGTCGAAATGCGTTCTTATGCGCCCCTGTTCTTTGCTCTCAATTTTCAAGTATATGCCACAAAATTGATTTAATACGTATGTTTTAGCTATTAATAGATGTTCAGTACCTATGGATCACATTATAACTGTCCATGACATTTTTTTCTATTGAATGTTACTATGTTTAACGAGATAAAAATAGTATTGAATATAACGCAAAAAAAAAACAATCAATTTAATGTATATATGAGTCGCTAACAACATCATCAAATTGGAAAAAAACTTTAAAAAACAAAGGAACATCATAAAGAAAAAGAAAAGAAATAATCGAAGTGTCTGCTCGCCATTGTATTATTTCTGTTGGATGTGCACGTGTTGATTTCTACTAACTAGCAGAACCTTATAAAATGCATCTATGAATAAAAAATTGACTGGCAGCCACCTATACACTAGGTTTCAATGTTCTTCTTTTTTGTTTTTTTTTAGAAAACTAATCAATTATAACGAATCATTGTCGTTGCCTAGTTGAATATTGTAAATCATGTCATCGATAACAGACAACGAACAAATAGGAAGTACGTGGATTTATTTTATGTTGAGCATAAGAAATTTCTTGAACTAATTATGCGTAATTGATGAACTTTTATATTTGTTTTTTTAAGGAGAAATAATGAATGGCGACTTTGACCGATATCTAAATGTAATCATTTTTGGAAATAAATTTGCAATATAACAAACTATTAGATTTTATTAGGAAATGACTGGATTTCTCATTCAACAATCACAAACATCAATAAGTACAAAATCACGATCAAATACTTTCACAGTAAAGAGAAAAAAAAAATCTATTAATCGATATGATAATTTATGATTCAATCTTATGTATATAGGATATGTCTGAGTTACCTGTCAATAACGAACAATCAATAACCTATCAGATACCAATAGCAAGAGATTTGGTACATTTTAAAATTGTATTGAACTGGTTTAAATTTTATTTTATTTTTCATATAGGACGACATTTTGCGGGATACAGATTTAGCTTTGACAATGGTAAGGTCAATTGAAAAACTGCTATTTTACATTATTATAAGTTTATGATTTTTTTTTTGTTATAGACACAGCCAAATGCACTGAGAAGGAAAAGCTTGTAATTAAATATTATTATTTACATGCAAATAGAGAGACTACTTGAAAAAAAAAATTCTATTTCAGCATTGACCCAGGGATATTTAGTTGTCAACATACATTTCAAAGTGGTCTTGCTGGTGCTGGTTTTTTTGATCAGCCAAAATTCTGTGATAAATTGAAAGCTGAAATAAAAGAAACTTATTCAGTTGAAATGATCATAACTAAGACGAGAGATAAATTGAATCTGGACAACAGCATGTATATTATTGACTTTAAAAGTAATGATCAAGACAAAAATCATCAGGCACTAGAATCATTTCAAGATTTTCTTAAAACAATAGAGACAAAAGTTATCGATGATAAATCAGGTAATCGAATCATTATTTAAATTTTCTATTCAAATGCTTCTAGATCAAAATTCTTCTAACCTTACAATTACAATCCTAGAAAAGTTAAATATAAGCATATCGGAAAGTTGTATTTCAATGAAAAAGATGAGTGTAAGACTTTATTATATGTACAGAGATATCCCGAACAGTAGGAGAAGGAGAAGATTTTTTCAATCTTGAAAAATTTTCGTTTTTCTCCAACGGAGTTACAACATTTTATTGTTTTTTTTTTGCTCATCAATTCTCAAAAAAAAAACATTCAACCTCCGCCCTCAAAATTCGATCAACTTTAGCAGAAATAATCCAATTGGCCACTTGAGTCATCGTTCCCCTCCTCTTCCAATTCTAGCTGCCTCGGGACACATCTGTTTAAATAATATATGTTGATTCAAATTTGAAAAAAAAGAAAACTTAGTCTACTGTGCTATTGATTTTAATTCATCATAATGGTTTATTAAACACAAAATATTTATAACAATTTATTCTGACATAGGATCTTGGGTAAACTATCAAGATTGTACCCGAATTATTCAAGCATATAGTGATCAGAATGAATATCTTCATATCCTATGCAGTTATGAAACAATTGGCCCATTGATAACTTATTTTAATAAAGACAAATCAACCGTATTTCATGATTTATGTACTACTAATGATATACTTGACAAATTTATCAAAAATTTTATATTACTTGATATTTCTTTACCGTTTAGTTCTGATTTAACAATAGCTAATAAAAGTTATTTAGCACAAGATATTCTAAAACTAGTAGATCAAATACAATCGCAGAATATTTTAATAATACTTGAACAACGATGTATTCATTTGTTTGGTTTAAATGATATAGTCAAGGAAGTAGAAAAACAAATAGAAGAAATTAAGACAAAATATGAATCAAGTATGGTTAAACTTAGTTTAGAACCAAAACAGGTAAAGAATACATATATATATATATGTATTTTTTTTTTCGTAAGAAATCGAACGAAATATTTGTTTTATATAGATAAAATTTTTATTGGATATCTATTATAATGAACTGAAAGCACTTGAAACTAATTATAATGATACAACAATTATTGAAAATTTAAAAAATGGAGAATTTATAGCTTCAACTTATGTTCATGATAGAATAGAATCCGAAATAATAACATTAGCTGCATTATGTACACCAATTGATTTTGAAATTCAAGAAGAAGCTTTTGGTTTAATAGCACATAACGAATGTATTAATCTAAAAAATATCGGTCGTCAATACAAATGTCAAATTGATATACAAATGAAAACTACAAATAAGATTTGTGAAATACCCAAAGCTCTACCACAAGATCATATTTCAAATAAATTAACAGCAGCTGCCATCAAAATATATAAGAATGATCTAGTTAAACAAAAAGTAACAAAACTATGAATTGTAAGAAAACTATAATAGTTATTTGTTTATAAATTTATTTAGGTTGATCTTATTGTTATTTATTCGACATCAATGTATCTATGTGATAGTATTCTTAAACAAGCTGGACAATCAGTTAAAAATGAATATGAAAAAATTGCAAAGATATCATCATTAGAACCATTTGAAATTAATTCAGGAAATTTATCCTGTCGAAAACTTTTATTTTTACCATGGGAAATAAATCAAACAAGTCAAGAAGCATTTTATCAATCAATTCGAAATTTTATTAGTAAAGCTATTCAACATGCTGTTAAAACTCATCATACATCAATTGCATTTCCATCAATTAATTGTGAAAAATTAAATATTGATAAAAATATTATTGCCAATGAAATGTTAGTTGAAGCTCAAACACAATTATTATCAGCTAATATTTTATTACAAATAAATTTTGTTATTTTACCTGAACATATTGATATTTTTGAAATATTTCAAGCAAAACTCGAAAGTCTTCAAAGAGGCAATCTAGAAACAAAAGATATTCAAATACAATATAGTTTTACAAGTAAAATATAAGATAAAATTAATTAAAATATGTTTTCTTTTTTTTTTGTTCAACTATTTATCTAGAACTTAAAATTACTATTCTATCTAATAATATAGAAAAGCAAGAGGAATGTAAGAAAGCTTTAAATTATTATGTACAACAATCAATTTCAGTTCGTGAACATTTTAAACAAGATTTACTTAAAAAATGGACACAACTTGCTATTAATACATTTTATAGATATTGTTTTGATCGACATGTTATACCTAATATGGATATTCTTACTGGTTATCTTAAATTATTTGGTTCAAAAGAATCAGTTACTGAAGCAGAAAATGAATATTATCGAGAACAAGTTAAACAAAGTGAACAAGCTCGTTTAATTACCATTGCTCAAGATATAATTTGGGCATTTAAAATAGATGATAAAAATTGGGAAAAATATCCACCTGAATTAAATGCTCATATTGAAGATGCATATTTAACTAAATTACCGACAGTAAGTATTAACGTCATATATGTAACAAAATATACCGTTCTCTTACTATCAGTATAAAACTTTATTAGCTTAGAAGTATCAATTAATATAGATCTATATCACGTTTCAGAGTCTATTTGAATATGAAGAACATCTCATTTTACAGAAAAATGCTTGTCCTACAAAACTCATTCATTAAGACTTCCCTTTCTCAAAAATTGATCTTGAGCCAGATGCATTCAAATCGCATGAAGTTTTGAGGATATGTTAGAGCTGTAGTCAAGAGATTATGCTAAAATTTCCAGCTCTACATTATGATGTATAACTCATTTAGTAACTCAAAATTCTCTATGACATCTTATACTGTAGATTTGTTTATAGCTGAGTACAATGTTTTATTCTATATTGCTTTTTGATATTATATAGTACTTACTGGAGCATGAACGAGTTGAAATGAAGATAAACTTAATAAGAAAGTTATTTATAATAGTAGGAAACTTTTTATATCAATATATTATGTATTTCGTTCAATCGATTGGTGTGATTTTCTTCATCTATCTTTTTCTATACTATAGAGAATAATTCGATCATATTCAGAATATTTCTATTTGAAACATAGAAACGATCACAATGAAATTTTTGTTTCACTTTATAATCAACTTGAAAACTACTAATTAAGACTATTGAATAATTATGACAATTAAAAACATTAACGACATTGAAAATTCTTTAACATTTATATTCAACTGAATAAAATTTCTTGGATTTCAACAGACTTTTCAAATTTTCTGCAACTAATTAGTTCGATAGAATTATTAGAAAATATAGTCGATCGGAGATTTTTATTATTCATCATTTAAAAACCGAATATATAGAATAACTACCATGATTTCTAATGTTGTTAATTAATTTAGTTGAATGAATTGAATATAAACAAATATATTTGTAGTATCAGTACACCGATGATCAATTCGTAGAATATATTATTGATTTTGAACATAACATTGAAACATGTGTAAATAGTCAATTACAACGTCCAATTATTCGACATGATGGTTTTGATTTACCAGAATATTGGCAGGTACAAAAAGAGAGTATTGCACAATTTTCAGTACAAGAAAATTCAATTGAATATAAAGAAATTCGTGCTTTATTTGATAAAACAATGATTAATAAATATACCACATTACTTCGTATAGATCGTATACAAAATAAACAATGGTATATGCAATACAATTCATATAAAAGTTTTTCACCAAAGAAAAATACAGAAAAAAAATTATTTCATGGTTGTCCAAAAGATTCAGCTGAACTCATTATTAATTCATTTTTTAATCGATCATTCACTGGAATTAATGGTCTGTTCGATTTGCTTTATAAATTCTCTATGAAAACATTAAGATTTTTATTTTTAAGGTACTGCGTATGGACAAGGAGCTTATTTTTCAACAAACGCTTCCTACAGTCATAAACATGCTCAGACTAATACGCTGAATGATGAACGATATATGTTTGTAGCAAATGTATTAGTCGGTGATAGCATTCGAGGAAATATTAACATGAAAACACCACCTTCAGGTTTTGATTCAACGACTGATGGAGATCATATCTTTGTTACATATCGTGATGATCAAGCTTATGCAGCATATCTTATTGTTTATCAATGAATTTATTCTAAATTATTAGTACTGTTCTAATTGATTAATGTCTTTCTTTGATTTGTGATAATTTTTATGTACAACAATCAAAATACTGAATTTTTCTTTTTGTTTTATGTTTGTTAACAATATTCTTTTTTTTCTTTTTATTCAATTTCCTTTAACAACAAAAGGAATAACAACGAGTTATTAAATAAACAAAACAAAACAATAACAAATTTAACTAAAAATCATCCATATCGTCACTTATTTTATTTATTGATTTTTTTCTTCGATTTTTTTTTGCATTTTCAATTGCTTTCATACGTTTCTTTTTTCCTAAACCTAAACGTTTTGTTTGTTTAAGACGTTTTTTTCGATAAATTATTTCTGGTTGATTAATAGCTAAAACAGCTAATTTTTGTTTACGTTCTAAACGTTTTGTTCGTCGTTGTTTAGCTATATCAGCATATATACTTGTTATTAAATGTATATCACAATGACGTTTAAATACATTAAATACATCTTGTGCAAGTGTTTTTAATGATAAATTTATTGTTGTTTCATCACGTTCAATTTCACGTTCAATTATAGTTAAAAATGATTTTAAATATGATGTTAAATATGATGATAAATCAAGTATAAGTGCAGCTATCCATTTAAGAATTGATGAACGACGTGTTATTTCACTAGGATATTTTGTTGATTCATATGTTGTTAAACGATAACAACGTTTAACAACTAAATCAAAATAATTTGATTTAGATAAAATAAGAAGTTTTGATAAATAAATAAGATTTTTTATTATTTGTAAACAAAATTCTTCAGTTAAATCTGATGGTTTTAATTGTGAACATGAACAAAAACATAAACGTTGAATTTTAATTAAAGGTGAAATTGATAAATCAAATGTTGTTATATAATGAATAAATAATGGTTCAGAATCAAGATTTGATTGAATAGATTTTTTCAAACGTTTACGACTAGAACCATTTTCTATTGTTGTTGTTGTTGTAGGATTTGAACTAAATAGAAATTAAATTAAATATGAGCTCGATGAAATTTTAAAATGTTGTAATGTATAGTTTTGTTTTTAATGTTAAGACAAGATTTGTATTGATTTTATTCTTTCAATTTGATTGTCAAAGGAAATATTCATGACGAAAATAATCTTATAAAATCGATATGATCACATAATGCATGGTGTAGAAGTCTAGAGTCAGTCAGAATTTTTTCGTTATTTCCGAATATATAAACAAATTTTCTTTCTAAGATAAGATTGAACATTTATCAGTAAATTTTTTGAAAAAGTCAAAAATTGTGTTCTATACAAAGCAAAAAAGCAGTTTTTGCGTAGCCCACAGTTTGTATCGTGAAACAATTTCAACTCAACGTTATTGTAAAGTACTGAATTCTCTACAAAATGAAATATCATCTGTGTATTTCTATTAAAGAACTACTAGTTTCCTAAATCGCACGCTTTATAAAAGCAAACTTTGTTCGACAATACGGAATTATTAAAAACTATTTCACATTTTAAATACCAAATTAACCCAAACGGTTTACTATACAATTACTATTTTGAAAACAATCTGAAGATATTTGTTCAATCTTATGCTAGAAGGAAAATTAGAAATAGCGAAAAATTCTGATCAGAAAGATTTCATTAAATATTATTTTATAACTCTTATCCTTTGTACTGATATTCTAAATTTTTCATTTAGTTCATAAAAAGACTAGTAATGTAGCCACCAAGGATAACATTCCAGAAGAAACGGCATTCCTCGCATTAAAAAATGACTTTCGTCTCGTATTAGAAATTCTCCTCCATTAGCTATCTGCTAGTGAAAACTTTTCAGTTTTGTCACATACTTATTATCTTCTTTTGGTAGATATTTTTTCAAATGTTGAATAATATCTTCTGGTTTATTTCTTTCAAATAGAAGACCAAAAAATTGTGTCGATAAAAATCGAACCCATATATGTGGATGAAGTAAACATTTTTCATCAATTAATTTTAATAATTTTAACCATATTGATCTTAATTGTAAAATTTCTAATGAATTTGGACAATATTTAATAACATAAATTAATACATTAATTAAATGATAAATATATTGATCATTAAATTTTTGTTGTTCATCATTATTATTATTATTATCATCATTATATTCAATATTATTTAATTCTCGTTCAATAAAATTAAATATATCAATTAAATATTGATCAAATTGTTCATGTTCAATTTCAATAAATAATATAAATAATTGAAGTGCTAAACAACGATGTTCAATTTTATCATTAATCCATATAAAAACAATATTTTTAAAAATATCATTTCGATGTTGTTCATCAATTTTTTCTAATAATAAATGTAAATTTAATTGAAAATATTTTTTACATTCATTATTTATTTCATTATAATAATGACATGATAATGGTAGAAAAAAATAAGAAGCATAATCATTTAAACGTTGTTTTGTTAAATCATTAAATAAATTATTTAAAAAAATTAATACTGATAAACGACCATTATAATCATCATAATCAAGTTGAAGAAGAAAAAAATCAAAATATGATTTTAATTTTGCTTTTGTATGTTCATAAGAAAATAAATATATATGAAATAAATCACGACATGTTGTACGTATATGATCATATGGTGATTGTATTATCATAAATATTATACGTGAACGTAAAAGATTATCAAGTTGTGTACGAAGATTTTTATCATTTGATATTATTGATATAGAATGACGCATTATTGAACGAAGAAGTAGAAATGCACTTGATTGACGATGAATATTAAGTAAATCAGATTCAATATAAGTAAATAAACATTGATATTCTTCAGATGTTAATGAAACATTATCATTAATTGAACGTTGAACAAATGTACCAAGAATTTTATAAGAAAGTGTTAATAAATCATTTAAATCATTCGAACCAGCTACAGATGAATACATTTTCAATAAATCGAATACCTAAACAGAAAGGTTTATTAAATTTTGTTTTTTTTAAGATTAAAGTTCATCGAGTTGGATCCTACTCCGAAAATTTTGGGTCCGATGAGTTCTATCTGAGATTCAAAAATTCGATATTCATATTAATATCAAATAAAATAGATAAGAGGGTTCATTTTTTTTTTCGAATGAATTATTTTATATATTATTTAAAAGTATTCGATAGTCATATGATTAGAAAGAAGAATCTTAGACAAAAGGAACAATTATCCGTATCAGAATATACTTCTAATAAATATGTTATGTTAATTTTACAAAATGAAATTATTCTTTGACTGTATCAAAAATAAAGATAACATATTTATATGGAAATATGCAGAGTTATCCTAACTTACTCTGCAGAATAGGATAACGATTAGAAAATTTTTCTCAATCAGAGTACAGTAGAGATGGAGTCGATTCCATCTGTGGACAGTGATATTTGACATAGTCAATTTTCAACAAAGTTTCTTTACACATCCTCTATGAGATACTAAGAGCAAAACACCATTAATAAGATACATCAGTATCGATTCTATCTCTGGTGTATAAAGTACGATAAAAAAACTTTACTCTGCACATCTCTAACTATGAATTATAAGTCTCTTGTTTTAAAGTTTTCTTAATATACGATTAACTTACAAATACACATTAATTATTTTAACTTTGAGAAAATAAAAACCTAATTCTATAATTTAAATAAATAGATTCTTAAATAAAGTATTTCTGATCTCGAAATCTTAAAAAAAACAAAAAGCACACTATATTTGATCATTGATAATATATCAAAATACTCGATTAAATTACCTTTTTATACATATTAGTAATTCGTTGTTGATTTAATGATGGTAATGAATATTCTAATATTGATGATAAATTTCTAAGTGAAGCAACAATAACATCTGTATATTGTGAATTTAAACATATTTCAATATGTATTATAAATGGATCAATCATAGATAAAAATTTTTGATCATCATTTTTATATTTTTTAATAAGTTTATGAAGTAAATTAAGTGTCCATGCAATTAAACAATGTATATTTGTTTTTTTTTCATATTTAATAGTTTGTGAAACACGTGCATGACCACGTTTAGGTTCAATTGGTATTAAATGATATTTATTTCGTTCTTGTATAATTGAACTTAATGTTTTAATTTTTTCATTATTATTATTATTAATTTGTTCATTTAAATTATTTTCTTCTGTTTTTGTTAATAAATGATAAATAAAATTAAATAAAATTTCAATTGATAAATAATTATTATTAATTAAACCTGTATGAAAACGTTGTAAACATTTTTCACATTTTGATATTTGTCTTGAATCATTATTTAATAATAATTGTTGACGTAATGGTTCAATACATATTAATAATTCATTATTTGAATGTATTAAACGACCAAGTATTTCCATAATATTTGCTGTTTTATTTGTTTTAGCTTCAGGTATATTCGATGGTTTATATGTTGAATTTTCATGTTCACTTGCTTTTGATGATTCAGTTTTTTCTTGATTAAAAAAATCATCAATAAATATATTAGCTAAAATTTTAACAGCTGAATCAATATTAAAATCATATGTTAATGATGATATATGAATAAGTATTGTATGAATTGTATGTAATAAAACAAAATGTTGATAACCACGTTGTAAACCAGCTATTAATTCTTCAATTATAAATTTAAAATAACGTTTACCAAATATTATTATACATTTACAAAGACAATCACGTCCTTGATCACGTATTGAATAAATACGTGAACGAAGTAATGTTAATAAATGAAGAAGAATTGTTGATATATGTTGTTCAATAAAATCATGTGAAAATATTATTATTAATTTTGTTGCTATTAATGAACATGTTATTGTTAATAAAACAGCTTGTTGACGTTGATCATCAATAGTTACATTTTTTGTTGATATTCCATTTGTTGTTAAACTATCAATAGAAAATGAATTTTGACTTAATAAATTAAGAATCATTGGTAATAAACGTTTTTGAATTGTTCGACTAATACGTTCACCTAAAATGAAATAATTCATAAATTTTTATTTTAAAAAAAAAATATCATAGAAAATTTCGAAATTTTGCAAAAAAAAACAAAGTACAATCCAACGGAAATAATATTATCAAAAATATTCGTATCACATCTTTAAAATTTTCTTAATTTTGAGGAGACAATGATTGTAGAGAACTTATTGACAAGACACCAGAGACAGTAAAATCTACAAAAACTAATTTGAAACGTCGGAAGTTTTTAAAAATCAAATATCTATTTTTGTGTCCTGACGGCTTGAATCTTCAACACCTATATTTGGCAATGACAGCGGATTCTTACACTTCTAGTCCTGTTCCAAGTCTCAACAACTTCTCCTTTTCATGTTTGCGTACATCTCGAATCAGAGCTAATGCTTTCTAGCTTATATGAAACTGCTAATAGTTTATCTTGAAATTCGAATACAAAAAAAAACAAATTGTTTTAATTACTTTCAGAATTAGTTTCATTGTTATTTAATTGAAAATGAAATCCATCAATAATAGCCGATATTGTTTTTGTTAAACATCGTTTTTGTATTAAATTTAATGTTCGTTTTGTTGTTGTTGTTAATTGACGAAAATAAGATATAAATAATTGATTATATTTAATCCATGGTAATATTTGACATAATGTTGTTAAACATATAAAAACAATATCATCATTAATATCTTGTTTATCATCATTAATAACATCATTTATAAATGAACAAACAATTGGTAAAAGATAATTAATAATTGTTGTTAAATGAAATGTTTGTTCATCATGTATTAATTTAAAACGTTTTAATGCACGTAAACGTCGATGATTTTGTACATGTGTTATATTATGAAAAAAATCAATTTCAATATCATTATAATTACGTAAACGTTTTAAATCATTTAAATCATCATTATCTATATTAATATCAATAATTAATCCTAAAAGACGTATAAATTCATTTCGTATATGAATTGATATTGTTGATTGTTTTAAAATTGTACGAATTTCTGTAAGAAGATATGATTGATATAATGGTATTTGTTTAAGAAATAAATGAATACATTGTGATGCATATTCACGTAATGATAAATCATTTATTGAATAATGTAATTCATATAAACAATGATAAAATAAACATAGAAATTCATTTTTATTTTTATCAATATTTTCTAATGTTGAAATTTCTTTTGTTATTTGTTTATAACTATTTAAACGACGTTCATAATCAGGTTCATCAATTTGATCTGAATTCCATGAATTTAATTCAATTAATTGTTTCAAATACCAAATTGTACTAAAATAAAAATAAAAAAATAATAATAAATCAATAAAATCGTTCAATTCGTTTTTTTTTTACTTTGATTTGATATTTGTTGATTGATCAATAAGTATTTGAAAAAGTTTAATTAATTCAATTCGTTGATCACGTTGAATTATTTTACAACATAATATTGTTAATAAATGTAAATATTTTTCTAAAGAATTTTCAATATGAATTATTAAATTTTGTAAAATTTTAAGAATTGAAATATTTAAATCTTGTTCGAATATTTTATTTGAAAATCTTTTTTTTTTCTTCTTTTTTGAAAGTATATTTTGACGAAGTAAACGAATAAATATTAAACATAATTGTTCAATTTTATCATTTTGAAATTGTTTACGACTAAGTATTAGAAGAATATCAAATTCTTTTGATGTTAATGATATTGAATTAGTAGATTCAATCATTGCATTTGATACATGAGTTAAATAAGAAAGTAGATTATCATTATATGGAATAATTAATGGATCATCAGCTAAAAAAACAATAGAAGTTCAATATAAATTCTTTAAGAAAACAAAAAACAACATACGATCAATTTGCATAATATTCCAAATAAATTCAATAATTAATTGTTTATTTTCATATGTAATATTTTCATTTAAAAATTGACTAAAACATTTCATTAAATCTTTAGCATCATTTCTATTATTAAGTATTGAATATCTTAAATGTGATGTACTACTCCATATAATAGCTAATTTTAATATATGAATAATATCATCACGTTGTTTATTTTTTATTAATAAATCATTTAAATAATTTTCTTTTATACAATATAACCATAAATCATCAATTAATTCTTTTTTAAATATATTATTTTCATTATTATCAAATAATTGAAATATTATTTGTAAACCTTTATATGACATTGAACGAATACGTTTTAATAAAGTTCGATTTTTTTTTATTTCAAAATTATCATCAAAAGAATTTTTTTGATTATTTAAATAATCAACAAATTTTATTGTTAATATATAAAATTTAATAATATAATCAATTTGTTTATGTATATAAATACCTAATCTATAAATAAATGTTTTTAATAATAATAATGAATGTTGAATATATTTAATAAATGTTTCATAGGAATTTAAATTAAATTCATCATTATTTAATGAAATTTTTTTATTAAATATATTTAACCAATATTGTTTATCATTTATATTATTAAATAATTCATCATAAAATGGTTCTAATAATAATTGTATAAAATAATGAAAATGTTTTTCATATAAATTATTTGATGCAAATGTTATTAAAAATTGAAATAAATATTTACGATTTAATTCTAAATAATCTTTTCTACCACGTGTTGTTGAACCTAATGAACGTTTATCATTTAATTTACTATAAATAATACGTATTAATATAAATGCATATTGATTTTTTAATGAATCAGATAAATTATTATCAATTAAAATACCTTGAATTAAATCATGAAATGTTTTTCGACATGTACTTGGATTAAATAATGGAAGAATATTATCGGAATGTTTTAAAAAATCTGATTTTATTATTGATTCAGGTATTTGATAACATTTTAATAAACATTGATAAGCTAATTTTTGTATTATATTATCAGATGAAAGTAATAAATGTATATAAAAATTATATAAACGTATTGGTTCATACCATTGTTGATAATGATGAAATTGTTTTAATAAATTTAATATTGTTTCTAATGTTTTTATTGATAAATTTTTTGAAAGTTTTTTTAAATTTATTATTGTTGAATTTTTATATGAAATTTTATATTGATTAAATAAACCTAATGATAATAAATTATCATAATATTCATTTGAAAAAAATTCAAATATAATTGGAAAAATTATTTTTATTTTTTGTTCACATTCATGTGGAAAATAATTTAATATTTGAAATAAATTTATACGATATTGTATATAATCAATTGATTGTTCATTAATTTCATTATCATGATTTTTTTTATTTAAATTTTCAATATATTCATTTATTAATTTATCATTTATTTGTTCAATTAATTTTAATTCATTATGTTGTTTTATTAATTGAAATTTTTCATTAATTATTGACCAAAAATATTGATGACCAATATATTCAATAGCTTTATTACCATATGAACCTAATAATTCAATTGATATTGTCCATAATGGTGTAAAATTAGAACAAAGTATACCAAGTAAATAATACATTGATAAATGAAATAATGATGATTGATTATTTAATAAAATAAAATCAATTGATAATTTTTGTAAATAAATTATTTTTGTACGATATTCATATACATTTAATGGACATTGTTCACATTGAAGACAATTTAATATAATATGATTTTGATTTATTTTATTAGATATAAATGATGAAAGTATATAAAGTGATAATAAACGTATATTAGAATTAAATGATGATAAATTTATTTTTAATAATTCAATAAATTTATCAAAATAATCTTCTTCTGTATTATTTATTAAAAATGATATACGTGTACAAAATAGATAAAGTTCAGATTGAAATTCTTGTTTAAGAATTGTATACCAAAATGTTGTAGAAAATAATTGATTAGAAGATATTAATTCTAGAAGAGTTAATGCTATTATTGATGATGATGATGATGATGGTAATGGTTCATTAATAAGTTGTGAAGAAAGTTTTTCCAAATGTGTATTTGTAAATAATAATGTATTTGAATCTTTTTCAGATAATGAATTAAGAAGAATTAATGCTCGCCAAAGTTGTCCAGTTAACTAAATAAATAAAATATATTGTTATGAGAGAGAATAGAGAATTCTATCAAAGATGTATTTGTTTGCTTCATCATGACATACAGTAGTATTTAAAACTGATCATTTTTCTAATATTTCAATTTTCATAGTTTATCTGTTAACAAATCCAACTCTATGTGTTGAACCTATCTTGAAATATTAAAAAAAAATAAGGGCGTTGGTATGACCAATTTTAAGTGTCACTATATCTAATAGAGAAATCGAAAATTAATTTTAATTTCGATTTGAAATCATTTAAGGAGATGTATATTTAACATGAAATTAATTAATCTTCTACATCTTTTATGATTCAGAATTCACATGACATATAACAAGTATTCCGGATTGTTTTCGTAGGTGGAAGAGACTAAAATTCAGTAGAAAGTTCGAAATTTTTGGGAGAAAAAAGTTTCTAGCAATCTTCCTGTAAGTCGAAAGCTCTGCATATAATAATACTGAAATAAGATTTGAAAATAGTAGCTAACGAAGGAATCTCTTCAGCTGCCTCTCCTTCCGAGCTCAATTACTTTTTGCCTATAGATACTACATTGTATTCGAATACAATAGGTCTATTTTCTAGAAACTTCAGCTTTTCGGAAAAACTCGTATTGTCGAATTTTAATCTCAAACTTTCTGCATCTAGAAAAACCAACTAGACTAGCTTTCTTAAAAAGTTTCAGATGAAAATTCGGATATACAACTTTTCCGAAAACCTGGAGTCTCTAGGCGAAAAAAAAAATCATTGAAATCGAAAGAAGGTAACTGAAGAAGTTGATAAATTTCTCACACAATAATCGGATATAAAATATTGTTTATATTTAATAGAAATAATTCTTACCAAAATCTGTGTATCATCAATCATTGATAAAGTATTTTGAATAAATATTTGTATTAATTTTAAACCATTTTCTGTTATTTTATCTTTGATTAAAAATTTCTTTTTTGTTTTTAATAAGTTAATTTTATCAAGAATAGTTTGATCATTATCATTTAATGATAAAATCATATTAAAATTTTTTCTTTCAATAATAATATAATCAACAAAATAATTAATAATTTCTTGTTGATTATTAGTTTTTTTTAATAATTGTTTCCATAAAGAAATATAAAATTCATTTGATAATTTTTCATTTAAATCACATTGAAAAATTTTTCGTGTTTCTTGATAAAGTACTAATGATGATGTTTGTTCAACAAATTGATAATAAATTTCTATAATTTGTTTATTTATTGTTATTTGTTTCATTAATTTAAAAATAGTTTTATAATGAATTTTTAAAAACTCATTATATTCATTTATTTTAATTATTGTTAAAAATTCATAACATAAATTTATATCAATAATCATTTTATGATCAATTAATAATTGAAATATTTCATAAAATATTTCATATATAAGATAATCATTTATATTATTATGATCTATTGTACGATAAACAATCATTAAACAATTCCAAAGTATTTCAACATATTGTTTATTTGTATGTTGAATTAATAATAAATAAATTTTTTTAATACATAATTGAATTATTTCAGGTTTTTCAATAATTTTTTTTAAAAGACATAATAATAATGATTTCGTACATGAATGAAATGTTGATTGAACATTTTTACATGTTTCACTAAATACTAATACAAGAGAATCTAATTCATTTTCATCACGTTCTTTCGTATTAAATAAATAATCAATAAATGATTGATAATTTTCTATTTTACGTAATAAATATGCAAATGATTCAGCTGCAAATGAACGTATATATTCATAATTTGTTGTTAATGTATTTATTATTTTAGATGAAAATAAATATTTTGAATATAATTCATATAAATTAGCTAAATCTTTTAACATAATACGCCATAAATATTTAAATAAATATGTTAAACATTGAAAAATTTGTTCAAGTAATTGTGTATTTATTTCATTTTGTTGTTGTTTTTTAGAATTTATTAATAAATTAATTATATCTGTAAATAAATATTGTTTATAATAGATATAAAAATCACTTTGTAAATCACGTGCTAATTGAACAATTAAATCTAATAATGTTTCAATTATTAATGGATTATATTCATTTAATGATTGTCGAATTAATAATATAATTTGTTCACGATTATAAATAACTTGTTCAAGTGAATTTGCTAATGGTAAAAGTTTTTGATAAATTTTTGAATAAGCTTCACTAAAATTTAATGTTGACCAATGTTGAAGTGATTGATGAAAATAACTTGTACGTATTAAATCATCAGTATCTTGAAGATTATTTGTATCATGATAACGAATACGATGAACAACATTTATATTTATATTATTTAAACGTTCATGAAGAGATTGATAACGAAATGGACGATGATCCTTTTCGTTTTGTTTTGATATTTTTTGTTTTTTTGTCATCTAGAATAATATCAATATAAGTATTTCTTTTTGAATTTGCAAATTTTGGTTAAATGGAAGAGGCTCAAATAAAATGTAAAAATATTTTGTGGACAACCAATCATTAGCGATTTACTAGTGACATCTGATTATATGTATAGTGATCCTTTGTTTTTATCTACATAAATCTCATAAGATTAATCGTGTAAAATTTTGTATATCCATTAATAATTAAGTTTTCGGAAGTTAAAGTTACGGAAATGAATGTATGAGATTAAATGAAATGAAATATGGGCAAAAGAAAAAGGACAAAAAATTTTTTTTATAAATGCTTCAACCCAGACGAATAAGCTAAACCAGAGTGTGGGTGTTGGTGTAGAAAGTGAAAGAAGATCCATAATAACACTCTCCTGGAAAATGGTCAACGTCCACTTTATTTTTATATAGTACTAACACAAAAATTAGAAGAATTACAGATAATTTGGTGAACTGATATTCTTTTTTTTCCATATAGCTGAAAGTTTTTGTTAATTTATTAATTTCTCAGCTATTTTTCATATCGACTAATTTTCCTAGACCTGAAAACATAAAAGATTGTTGTTTTCTACATATATATATATGAGTAGTGTATATTATTGGTTTATATCATTTCAAAGGATGTTGATTATGACAGAATTTTTAGTTTAAAAAAAACTCTGCAGTGATAATCCTTTACGCTCTAACACTAATTCAGTAGAGTTGGTGTTGAGTTAAACACGAGAATAGTTTATTCAGAAGTAGAACGAATAATAAATGATCGATTCGTCTTGAATGGACATATAAGCATTGTACTTATTGCTAATTTACGTTTTTTTCCGCAGTAATCTTCTTTTGCCGTCTGTAGAAAGCTGAAAGGCTACTTATCATGAATTAATTTTTGAAAAATGAGTCATCTTGAGCGATGATTTATGGTCAGATGCTTTGCAAAGGTGGCTGTTAAGATCTCGTTCAAAGACAAGGCCATAGCAGAAGTTGTAGGTCTCTATTTTTTTCGTCAATAAGAAATGATTTAAAAACTATCATGGAATGCTCCATTACGTATTAGAATTGAAAAAATAATTTAATACTTCTGCATTAGTGTTGAATTAACATCGGTATTAAGAGAGGGCCCATGAGAAGACCGACCTTTGTTGAGATCGTTGGTACCTGTCAAATTTTATTTTATTTTCTCTTTGTTTGTTAGATAGATAGAGTATGCTATGAAACTAAGAAAACCAAAATATCTCGTTTTGAAAGTGTTTCCTTCACGAGATCTAGAACCCCCAAGTTTGACCACTGAGGATTAGTATGCATAAATATGCATTTTTTAGTTAACCTTAGTATTTAGTCAATTTATTTTTTCTATGATAGGTCTGACAAAGTTTGTTCATATACCATTCGATAGAGGAGATAAAATCCTACAAACAAAGTTATTTTGAGCTTCATTTGAAATTGCATCAGGTGTGTTAGGCATAAAATACTCGATAACTGAGGGATCTGGTATATAGCGATTTTCCAAGTATTTCGAATATTTTGATATACTTTTTAAAGGCTTTCACGAATTTTTTTTATTCGTTATATACACTGATCAATTCTACATCGAATGGTGTAAAAAAAAACTGAATAAAGGTTGCCAGGACAGATCGAAATAGATCTACGAAAGTAATAGGGGTATAGTATTGGAAAAATGACATGTTTCCATAGTGGCTATATTACTTGATTAGAAACCATTCTATTAGCAAAATTGATAACAACTTTATGTTCAGCAATAAAAATTGAGTTAGATTTCGTATTAAATCAAACAATCTAAACCAAATTTAAACATATAGTTCATAACTATTGAACGTATTCTCATCAAATACCTCAAATGGTAACATATCATCTTGCATATACCCGTCTCGACCAAGAAATACTCTATTTTGTACAAAACTAAATTGTGAGCATAGTGCACTATTTATGTTTTCTGTTTAGACAGCATAAGATGTTGTTACCCTTATGTTTTAGAATGAAACATCCTCATAATAGTCAAAAGAACAAATTCTTCTATAAACAAAATTTGTTACTGAAAATTCCAAGAACTCACATTCATACGTTTCTTACGCTGAATCTTATCCAGATCAATAGCCTTCAAGTTAGGATGAATATATCAGTTCAAATTAACTTTTTTTTCAAACCCCTGGACTGTTCTTCATTCTCATCATATCATTTCTCACATCTAATTGTTCCATCTCTCTTTTTGGTTGCCATGCACTTCAGAAAACTAATAACAATGAAGTCTGAATTTTTATGTAGTGAAATCACTAAAAATATAAGATTCCAACATGTTCTTCCCTCTCGTGCCTTTATTGATATTGTTTCTCTCTTCTTCTTTGGTATTTTGCCTTCTTTTGTATTCTTTCTATGATATATCTTCTTATATTATCATTGTGAATTGTTCCCTTATAAACATACTACGTTCGTACATATAGAGAGAGTAAGTGAAATAAATAGTTAGGAGTGCAAGTGCTCGGTACATCGTGGTTATACCATGAAAAAGAAATATAAATTTCTCGTTTCAATACGTAATCTTAATGTAACAGAATGATTGATTGTTTCTATTTGAAGAAATCCTTTTGTTTCTGTGTGTCTAAATGAATGATGTCCATATTGTGCGTAATAATAACAAAGAAAAAAAGGATGATAAAAAAAAATATATTTCTTTTGAATCGACTGTATGTCTTCTATTTTATTCTATATTAATAAAAGAAAACAAGTTAGTTTTTACCATTCGTGTGTTCGATTTCGTATTGCGTATCAGCGTAATTATTGTTAGCAGATCAAGATGTTTATTCAACCAAGAAACTTGTCATCAAAATTATCTCTCAACTTCGGTTGGTCTCACGGAAAGTTTCAGTGAATGTGATGGGAATGAAATTGAATGTCGTGACTTATGTGAAAATAGAACAGTTTTTCTATCGTTAAAAGCAGTGAAGTCTAAAATAGAATATTTATTACTATGGTGTGGATTTGGGTGGGTGCGGGTGCGTGCAGTTGTTTTCTGAACGCAATCCCACATTCACACCCGCACCCTCAGGATTTTTGACTGTACATATAAAATTAGAGATAGAATCATCAAAGAATAGTTTTTCAAACTAATGTAAATTCTTATCGAAATATTTTTGCCATTAATCTATACAACCAAAATGTTGTCTGAGAAGTTTATTCAGTTATAAAAGTCTATATTGTATTTTGCTTTTTCACATATCTACGTTGATTACAATTCAATGACTGATGACCTGATGAAAGTCAGCTATAAAAGAAAAATAGTGTAACAATGCTAATTAACAGCCAGAGTCTATTATCGGAAAACTCAATCGACGAATCTATAAAGTTTTTATAAATACTCATCTATCGATCAATCGAGATCAATGAAGAAAATTACGACAAAAAAAAAAAAGGTAAGTTTAATTATTCTACTATATATTTCCTATTCAGCAAAGAATAATTAATACATTTTCAATTAATAAATTTTTATAAATTGAAACATTTAATAAAGAATAACATGCAATTTAAAAAAAAAAAGATTTATTAAATCAATTAATAATACTTATATTAGCAAATTGATAATAGAAGTAAGCATGTGCAAAATTAATTTTTCTTTCGTTCGGAATTCCATCAACAAGAAATTTTAATTCTAGTTTCAAACTGCTGGATATGTTTGCTTTACTATAATCTACACGTTTAAAAACGACTTATCGTTTTTCTTGGTAGTCGTCATTAACTTAATCGATTTTGAACAACATATTCTTATATTCAAAATTTAACGATATTTTTGAACTGAAAGAAACTTTAGAATGATTTACACATGTTGCCTTTTGATGTAGAAAATTTATTATTGACCTATAGCAATTAGTCAAATGATATTTCTATTTCCTATCCATTATGATTTTTTCTTTCGAATCACTCATGAGTTATAATGCGTTTTTTTTGTCAGATTAACATCCTCTATTCAATAAGTTTCCGTTTTAATTGTTCTTATTGTGACGCCAAGCACTTTTTTTTCTTTTATGAATTTTTCCACATCACTAAGACTCACAACTAAAATAGATTTTCGATAACTTGATTTAGCAAATTTAGATATAAACTCTTTTCTGTATCTGTCTCATTCTAAATTTTTAACATCTGTTATTAAGTGTCACTTTAAGTTTAATATAGAAAATATTATCTTTCTTCAGATATTATGAAAATACATTTGCATATATTACTATCCAATTTTGTATTAATCTAGGCGAATATTAGATTGTAATAGAGCTCATAAATCGAACGAAATGCCTAGCTGAAAACTCAATTATCATCTAGAAATCATTGTTAAATATGAAACTTTTGATTAAGATTTTAGAAAATTTTTTTTCAATTTTGCAAATTTAAATTTCTTTCATTAATTGGTTATGTATAAAAAAGAATATATATAATCACTCATTTATATAGAACTAATAAATTTAATATTAATTTCAAAATCAAAATTACATTTAAGGTTAAATACTTTTCATCAAGTCCATTTCGTTCATTTCTACATATTTCTATTATTAACTTATAATTATTGACAATAAGCATTAATATTTTCTATTATTTGAGGTCAATTACAAGTTTTACATTTAACAAAACTAAATTTAGAAACTAATTTATTAGAAATAATTTCCGACTCCATTTTAAAAGAAAAGTGTAGAAAATTATACTAAACACAATCTTAAATATAAACAACTTCAATGTCTTGTGTTTATAACATATAGACAATGACGCTTAGAAAACGGAAAATTTTTCAAAATTCAAAATATTTAAAACAAAACAAAATTATTCGATTAATATGAAGCATAATAAAATGGTTTTTTTTTTATTGACATATTTTAATCATCATAAGATAAAAAAATTAATAAAAAAAAAAAAAAAAGAAAGAATCACAAAAAATAAATAATTATTATTTCTTTTTATTTGTTATACCTAATGTTGATGATGTTAAACGTATTTGTTCAACAGTTTCTTGTAAACCTTGTGCTATATCAGTTATAGCATTTCTTGATGATGGCTTTTGACACTGTGTTAATACTGTACGACATGTTTGATCAATTGAAGTAAATTTTTCAATAATTTTATCAAAATTTTCTCGTGTTAATTCATGTCGAAGTTCCGAAGTAACATCAGTTTTTTTCGTTGAAACATTCAATAATAATTCAATTACTTGTAAATATGTATTAGCTAAATTTTTTTTTGCTGATTCATCTTGTGATCGTATTGATTGAGCCACACCTTTAATTGACAAAAGAAAAATATTTTATACAAAAAAAAAAAAAAAACAATAATTCACTAAATACTTACTATTAATAATTCGAATCTAGAAAAATAAAAAGAAAAAATAATTTCTTTTTTTGAATTTTAATAAAAAAAAAAAAAAAAAGAACACTTACAATACGCCATAAACGAAATGAAATAAATAATAAAGAAATTTCTGCAATAACACTTGGTTTTTTTAAAAAATAAATATCAATTGCAAATGAAACAATAACAATAAGAGCATCTAACCATTCCATTTTTCTTCCTCGAAAATTCCACCATTTTTTACCAAATGCATATATTTTAATTGTAACTTCAACAACAAATATAGCTAATAAAACAATTGATGCATAATGTAATAATTCAATAGCTAATTTTAATTTATGATTTTCAACTTCACCATTATGTGTTGTATTTTTTGCTTTATTATCACATTGTTGACTTAAATATATAAAATCTAATAATAATTCACTAACAACAAGTAAACAATCGATAAGTACTAAAATTATAATAGCAAGATGAAATGCTGTTTTTTCAACTATATGTACAATAAAACGTTGATGATTAAATTTAACATTCCACCAATTATTAAAACATGAACAACATTTATCATTACAACAATTATCATTTTCATTTGATTCTTGATCAAATTGTTCAACTGCTCTTAATGTATGCATAGATAAATAATTAGCAATTGGATCCATTCCACCTGATACATTTGATTTACTTGATGTTGCCATTTTTACTTTTTATTTGAAGTTTATTTATTTATTTACTTTTTTTTTTTTTTGAGGAGACTATTTTATCTTGAAGTATCACACACACTAAGCTTCTTATCAGTGAGAAAAAAAAGAAGAAGAAGAACAAAAAAAGGAGAAGACGATTGCAAATAATTATCTTTACAATCTTACTTTGTTTTTAAAATAACTTGATAAATAATATTTCAATTTTTTATTATGTACTCGTCGATAAAAATAAATTTGTAATAACATTATTAGATAAATCTAATTAATAGAATTTTATTGATAGAAAATTGTAATAACTACTCATTATATTTTATATAGAATAAGTAGTAATGTTCAATCATTGAAAATCAATTGTTAAAATCGATATTCATTGAAAAGTTCATATTTAATTTGTATGCAATAATATAATGTCAAGTTACTTGATATTAATTTAGAATAAGAAATTTTTATTTCAACTATATTTTCTATAACAATATAATAGATAAATTCGATTCGTTATAAATTAATATATATATATAAATAAGATAATCGAATAATCATTTATATCAAAATGATTTGATTAAGCAAGTTTCTAAAAAAAGCTCGTGTTTCTTTTTTTGAAAATAATACACAATTGAAAAATAGCCCGCCATTTCAATACAGCAAAATAAGAATGTCACATATAATAAAAATATTTACATCAATTAAACAATTAAGTATTTTACTTTTATATAGTAATAACAAATTTATTCTTTATATGTTAAGAAGTTTTTCTGGAGTGGGGGAGTCGGAATTAAAAAAATCTCATTCTACTGCAGTGCATGTAGACGACGATGTATATGGTTGGACTGAATGTTCACACGCATATCAACAATCAACCACACTATGATCTGGTATTTTTTATATGAAAATAAAATTAATATATTACAATAATATTATATATTTTGAGATGATGAAATAGTTTTTTGATTGTGGGCAACAGTTAACGTGAAATATATTTATTATTAATTACTTGTAATAAAGGATTAAAAATAATGAAAGTAATTTGTAATAAATTTGCAAAACAAAGCAAGCTGTGATAAAAAGTAATAATTATTATTACCAATCAATAAGTAACAATTATTAAAAAAAAAAAAAAGCAATCATAATACGACACTTCTATATAGCTACGATAAACAATGGTGCCTTGATTTTTTTGTTTTATTGTCGAAGAAAATAAATCATTAGAGAATGAATGAATGAATGAATGTTTTCTGATTTTCTATTGAAAAACTAATTATTTTATGTCATTAAAATATTGAGAATCTGACCTTATCTAAGAGTGAATGACAATAATTCTTATAGAAGTAAAAGAGTGTATGTATTACATGAACGGCAGAAAAGAATCTTATTCAACTTCCTGCATAAAGAAATAACTATCTTCAACGAATAATATCATTTCTTTTCCGATTATATATAATAGTATAGAAAAATCAATGAAATAATGAGAATATAATTCAGTTAAAAACAAAAAAAAGAGTATATCGAGTTCAACATTTTATACTCTTTGTCATTTGTGCTTTTATTTCTTTTGTATTGATTTGATTCTACTAAGTTAAATCATAATACAAGACAGACAAAGTCATCAAGAATAAGAAAAAAGAAAATCGGAACTCTCTTTAATCGAGCAAAAAGAGAGATTTAGTAAAAATTTCTATATATAACATCAAGATACATAACACATTTCATTTCCGCAGGATGCAATCATCTTTGCATAGTATTTATTCATCGATTTTCTTCTTAAAAATATAAAATTACGAAAATAGAGTCCGTATGTCTTTTTTATTTTTCTCTCGTTTCTATTTCTTTCATTTAATATAAAGCAATGAATAAATAATTATATATTCTCTGCCTTCTTTTATTTTTGCCGTTCTATCTCTTCATTACAGATCCATATTTTAGGAAAAAAAAACCGTACAAAAAAAAAAAAAGAACAACCGGAGCCTGACAAAGATCCACACGAAAAAAAAACAACAATTGTAGTAATTAGACAAAGAAATAAAGATCTAAGAAGAGAGAAACAAAAAAGAAAACGACCGGCATATAATTAACGTTATATATTTGTGATTCGCACAAGAGAATTTTCCTCTATCAACAACAACAACAACAACAGCATAATAGACAGATGAAAATCGTGCATACATAAATTTGACAAAAGAGAGAAAAAAAAAGATTCACTCTTTCACATATAAGAGTTTCATAAAAATAACAGACAGAGGAAAAAAAGAAAAAAAATTTGGAAGCATAGATAAATTTTGCAAACGATTGATCTTTTGCTTGGATTTTTTTTTTCTTTTTATGAAAACATTGACAAAGACATCTTTTTTTTTTATTTGTGACAAACAAAAAGAAAGGAAAGAAAACAAAACAAAAATTTTTTCATATAGAAATAAATATATATATATTTATAGAGATAAGAGAGAATAACTTCTATATATATATTAGAATTAAATTGAGAAAAAAAAAGAAAGAAAGAAAGAAATGTACAACACAAAAGAAAGAAAAATCATGTTCAATTTGTTTCTATATTAGATCTTATTTACTTATCGGTTAAATTTCGACGACTAGACCGATAATTTGTGCGTATTGACTATTTTAATACAATAACATAAATATAAATTATCATCTATCGTTCATTTTATTTGCTGATGAACGTCGAGGATTTGATGATGATGAACGTGATCGATTTTTACGTTCATTTGTAACTGAATTTGGTCGATTTTGTACATGAACACTTGGTTTAAGACGTCCAATTTTAATATTAACACGTCCATGTGGAAGTGTCTAGCAAAAAAGAAAATAAAAAAAAAAAAGAATCAGTTATTTATATAAACACTTTATGTTTATACTTTAAGTGTATAAGCAACATGTTCATAGGCTGCTGTTCTTAAATCTTGTCCATTTACTTCAAGAATTAAATCACCAGACATTAATCGACCATCTTTTTCTGCACAACCACCTTCGAGCTAATCAAACAAAAAAAAAGAAAACCAGTAAGTTTTTTTTATATGAAAAATTTTTTATATTCACAATATGAGAAATAAATACACCATAACCATGTCGTCGTCCAATGATACTAAATCCTAAAGAAAATAAAAATAGATTTATAGATCAATAATTAGATTAAAATTTATACCAAGTCCTTTGCCAGATTTTTTAATTAAATCAATTGTTATTATATCAAATTTATCTTGTTCATTTGTCATTTCAGTTAAAACTTTTCCTCGTAAAACAAGTATACGAACAATATTTGTTGCTTGTCGTAATGCTTGAATAGCTTCTTCATGTGTTGCTGAACGTAAATCAATGGAATTAACTTCAAGTATTTGATCACCAACAAGTAAACGACCATCACGTTGTGCAGCACAACCATCATAAATATCATGAATAATAATTGCTGACTAAAAATAAAAATTTAATTTTTTCTTTTAATTATAACAAAAATAAAAATCTCGTTTTTAATTTTACTAATTGTGTATCGGATCCACCAACAACTGAAAGTCCAAGACCAGAATGTCCACGATCAATTTCAATTAATGTTTCTTGTCCAACAATAATTGATCGTACACGAGGATCATCTTCTGATATAATATCATTATCATCTTTAAAAACACAAAAAATATTTTATTAAAGTTTTCTTTTTTTGTTTTTTTTTTTTTACTTGAAATTAATGTTGGTAAACTTTCAGCTTGATTTATATTAACAACAACTGGTTGAGTTTGTGGTTCTCGATATGGTAAACATGTTAAATGCATTTGATTACTATTTGCATTTTCTAACATATTTTGTATATCATTAAATTTTAATACTTCAATTGATGTTCCATTTATTTGAATTAATTGATCACCAGCTCGAATATCTTGCTAGAAAAAAGACAAAAAAAGACAAAATTAAATAAAAATATTCATTTGAACTTTGTCCTTAGAGAATAAAAATTTATTTATATATATATATATACTTGATCGGCTGCTCCATGTGGTTGAACACTTTGTACCCAAATTGCATTATCTTGTTGAGTTAATGTTAAACCAAATGAACCTTTTTGATCCTATAAATTAAAATAAATAATTGAATATATATCTATATCTATATCTATATATATATATTATGAAAATATTAATTTAAAAGAAAAAAATTTTACTTTATTTAATATAAGTGTGATTGGTGCACCTTGTACAGACATTGAAGCACGTCGAGGCACTTGTGTTGATGAGGATAGTATGGGTTTTCTAGTTGTATGTTCAGTTGATGATGGTGTTGAGACTGACAGTGATGAAGAAGAACTTGAAGATGATGACATAATAGATATAGGCGATGCAGTTGCGCCGTTTGTTGTTGTTTTTATAGACAATGCTGGTGTTTCTGATAAATTCTCTTCGGTTTTTTGCTTATTAGGTGATGATATAATGACGTCTGAAGGCAATATATTATTTGTCTGGCTTTGTAATTCGTTTGATTGTGTCACTGAAGAAGAATGTGTAGGTGATATTTCGTCTAAGAAATAAATTATAATTGATTTGTTTTTTATTTTAATTAAAAAAGAAAAATACAAACCTTGATCTTTTTCAATTGTATTATCTATTGAAGAAGTTAATGCTTGGTTATTATCTATAAAAATATCTTTATTTGTTTGATTTTTATTTTCTAAGTATTTATCATTGGCATGATCTGCTTGTTCATGCATTAATAAAAATGATGAAGTTGTTGTTGATGGTTGCTGTGTCGACGATAATTCGTCATTTTCATATGCGTACGTTGGTTGATCGAATGATGATGAAATGGAACGATGAGTAGAAGAATCGACATCGGAAGAAATAGAATGAACCGTCGTAATCGTGGCATTACTACTAATATTATGATCTAATGATGAAACTTCGTTGTTGTCGCTTTGAACGTCACTAGTTGTTATTATTTGATTAGACGACAACGACGATGATTTTGGTATGTCTTCAGCAACTGATAATTTTTCATCTTTTACTATTGTTGTTGTTGCTGCTGCTGCTGCTGTTGCTTGTGGTATAGAACATTTTCTTTCATTCTTATTTTCTATATGTTCGCTCTCGTCCGATGTATGTGTAGAAGAACGAAAAACTAATGTTGATGTTGGTCTATCGTTATTTTCTCTGCGTTCATCGACATCCGGTTGGTGCCTGGGGACATGAACATGATGATGACTAGCATCATTTATCATCTGTTGTTCTGATGTCTGTTGGAATGATGATGGTGATGGTTGGTCTCGTACTAATTTCGGAGATGTTGATGTAAGCTGAATACCACCAGTAGATGTCATTGCTGATGCCTTATAATTACGAAAAAAAAAAAAAAAAAGAAAAGATAAAAAAAAAATTATGAATCAATCATATATTTGACATACGCGTATACGTGCTGTAGCTGCATGTTGATTGCTTAAAGCCATGTCATTGATTGCATTGGGATTTCTAATTGAAATAAATGAAAAATTATTGATTAAATAAAAAAAAAGAAAAGAAAAATTAGGGTTTTTTTTTGTTTTTTTTACCGAAGTACAACAAAATTCAATGTGTCAGCTTTAATAGATTTAATAATTGGTGTTACTCCTGAATGTGCTTTACCCAAAAGAATTTCTCCATTAACCTAAACAAAAAAAAAATAATAATAAAATGATTATTTTCCTTTTTATTTCAAGAGAGAGAGAGAGAGAGAGAGGAAAAAAATCAATAATAATATTAAAAAACCATTTGTTAACAATATAGACATGTCAAAAAAACAATGCTGCTTTATTATTATTTTTTTCTATAGATGAATATAAATTAGAATATAAAGAATATATGAACAGAAAATGGCGAGTCACGCAATTATTTCAATAGATTATAAGATAGAGTACTTTGTTTGTCTGAAAATCATGAATGCTAAAGAAAGAGGAATTCCTTTTCTTTTTCTCTGCTTTTTTTTTCTCTGTCTCATCTTTCTTCTTTTTTTTTTTCGTCGTCGTTATTTTTTTTTTTTTTTTTGGTAAAAATATCACGCATACTGAACAGGAAATTCACAAAGCGAGTTTCTTTTTCCACCCGAACACGATTATAGTCACGCATTAAATCTCTAAATTAGAAAGCGGAAACATTCTTATTTCTTCTTTTTTTTTTTGTTATATTCTTTTTATCGAAAAAGAAGAATAAAAATATTAAAGATTATTCTATCTTTACTTCAAGTAATTGATCGCCTGGACATATACGATTGTCACGATCAAGTAATGAACCAGGTTGAATATCACAAACAAAAACAGCTAATTTATTTGGATCACGATGTCCAATAAGAGAAAGTCCAAGTGGTTCATTGATTTCAGATAAATTTCTTTTTATATCAATAAAAAAAAGATCACCATTTAAATGTCCATATTGTTTACTTAATTCATCTTCAGTTTTTCGTTCATGTATTAAATTTGTTGTTAAAATTTTATTTTGTGATGGAGAATTTATTGTTGTTGTTGTTGTTGGAATGTGAGAAAAATTTGTTGGTGAATAATCATTTGTTATTGATGATGATGGTGATGATGTTGTTGTTGGATTTGATGGATCGAGTAAACTCTGTACAATAAAATGAACAGGTGATTGTGCAGCACGAATTATTTCAACAGCACGATCATGTGATGCATCACGTAGATCATATCCATTAACATCAAGTATACGATCACCAGTTTTTAATGTACCATTACGTCCAGCTGGTGAATCGGGTAAAACATGTTTTATAAATATACCTGATATACATGATTCAATTGTATTTCCTGGACCAGAAAAATCTAATTTTCCACCAACAATACTTATTCCTAAACTTTTAACATGTTCATTACGATAAAGTATAACTGTTCTTGGTGATCCCCATAATGTTGCACTTAATGTTTCACTGTCAATAACAGTTGGATATGTTTGTTGATTATGATGAGACTCAAATTCATATAAATCACTATCATGAGTTTTTGTTTTTGTTGTTGTTGTTGTTGTTGTTGTTATAATAGGTTTAGTTAAAGAAGGTTCTATATTGGAACCAGTAATTCTATAAATAGATATACACAGAAAAAAACATGAATCTTTATAATTAATTTTGTTTAGTTTTTTTTTTCTTCTTACTCGGGTAATATTGGTGATAATGTTGTTTGTGGATCGAGCGTATGTTGTTTAAATTGTTTAGCTTCATCTCCAGGAATGAAAACGACACTAAAAAAAAATAAGATGATACGAAGCAGAGAAAGAGAGATAGAGAGCAAAAAAAAACTCATCTAGAAAAAGATATTATTTATTAAAATATATACCTGATATCTGACCCCATGAGTGAAGCACGTCGTATAATTGACCGTGCTTGTGCATTGCTTATCTTTTTCATATTTTCATTATTAATTGATAATATATAATCATCCGGTCTTAAACCATGTTGATTCGTTATGGTTGTCGTTGGTGTTATGGAACGTATCAAGCATCCATTAACACCTTCATCAACATATGCATCAACAACTAAACCTAAACAGAGAAAGATTATTATGGTTTGTTTTTTCTAATAGAGATATATATGTATTATTTAATTTAATATATTTATATATATATATTACCAAGTTGATCAAAATTATGTTTAACACGTATTTCACGTTCAAGATATACAGGTAATTGTATAACTTCATGATTTAGAAATGTAATAACACGTCCGGAAGACTGTGAACTAGTCGATAGAGCAGGTGATGCCATACGCGACGATTGTCTTGATGAAGTCCATTTGGGTGTTATAGTTGGAGTTGTTGGCGTTTTGCTTGTTGATGTTATTATACTATTATTTTCATTATCATTATTATTATTTGTAAGTATTCGTTGATGTTGTGTAATAATGGCGTCCACTTCACGCGCATCTTCATCTATAATTGATGTTGTTGGAGTTATTTTGGTTGGACAAATAACATTCTTTATCGGATGTTGATGAGTTAATGGAGACGATGATGTTGAAGAAAGTATAACATTATAATTATTATTATTATTATTATTATTATTATTATTATTATTATTATTATTGTCGTCGTCGTCACTACTCAAGTCAGGCTAAAAAAAAAACAACAGAAAATAATCAGTATACAATGATTTTTTTTTTCTTCGTCTTCTCGTTTTTCTTCTTAGCTTCGATAATGACGTTGAAAAAGGGAATAATCGATGAAAAGGAAAAAGAAGGAGATAATGGGTGTTTGCATAGTTCTTGACGAGACTGTTGTCACAATTGATAAACGAATTTGTACATGAGAACAGATGAAAAAACATTACTCTATATCTCATTCTCTAACTGACATATTTTGCTGTTACTAGATGTATAGCTACTTCTTTTATAGTGAACTGTATTTAGTAGAATATAGATCAATATGCTTAGAAAAAAAAAACAACTAATCTATATCATCGAAGCAAACAAGCATGAGTATATAAGACTCAATCTGCTAATCATAATTGACTTGAATGCAAACAGACGCGCTCCGGGGGATCGAAAGGAGAATCATCCGTTCGTACAATTACGCTGACGGCTCAACGATCATTTCCTTATGTATTACAGCATCAAGCTGTATATATGTTTATTTAAGTTTGACTTTCGCTCTTTATTCTATCGGTTAATAATTCACAGTAGATCAAAAAAGAAAACATAAAGGAGAAGCAAAAGAGGGGAAAAAAAAGACGCAAGAAAAATAGAAAAAAAAAAAAAAGGAAAAAACTCAAAATATGTGCATGTGTGGCACACGAACAACCAGAGCGTGAGACACACGCAGGCAAGTATATACACAAAAGAATAACAGACGGATAGAAAGGCAAAAAGACCGGGCAGCTACATAACGGCGACAACAAATAGTAATTCTTTCTGTCCGCCTTTTTTGGTGCGGTACCACAGAAGCGAGCGAACACACACACACGCACATACACAAGATACAATGTTTCTTTTCCTTTTCTTTTACTTGTTTCTTTTTTTTTTTTTTTGTTACATATAGTCTCTTTTTCTGTGTTCCTCTATCCTTACAAGGCACCACTAACATTTTCCTTGAAGAATAAGACGCGAAGAACGACAAACAAAAAAAAACGGCTATAATTGAAAAACAACGGATGATGTATGGAACACAGTGTATCATTCATACATCTTTTTTTTTCCGCTAGATCACGCATTCACACAGAAACAAGTGGATTTACCGCGTGTTTTTTTTTTTATACAAGAAATTTGCAATTATTATAGACGACAATATATATCTATATATAATACAATGTTTTTTTCATAACGAAATAAATATAAGGTCAGAATGAAGTCAACAAAAGAAATAAATTAAATTAGAAATAAAACAGCAAAAAAATATATATATATATATATATATTAGAAATATATGTCTTACTTGAGTATAAACATCGCTTGACCTTCCTGAACAAGTAAAACAAAAACGAAAAATTGAACGTTTACGATGCTTTAACATTTGTACTCGAATAAAAATACGTGTTTATATGATAGTGATATTATATGTATGTGTTTTTTTTCTTCGCTCGTCTGTTTTTTTATTTTTTTTTGCTCATGTCTTACTGACTCATTGCATATAGATAATGTTGATAAATGCATCTTGAATCACATATTTATATATACATGTATATTTATATATGTATACATTGTCTACCTGTCGAATATACCACTTATTTGTTACACACTTCGTTCTCTTTTGTATTGCAATCATTCATTTCGAATTATTTCGATTCGATTTAAACTATCCACATGACATATGAGATTGAAGAAGAAGAATCATTCATATAATAAAGCCTTTTTTGTTAATCGAATCACCCTACATCACATATATACACACCTCAGTGATTTTTGTTTTTCTTTCTTTTTATCTAAACACATAACACGTATGTGTATTTAGCTTATTAGAAACGACGTTATTATTACACGATCAACATATTGATTAAATATTGATGCCAACTAAGATATTAGGATATTATTTTTCTCACTTATATTCTCTCTCTCTCATATATCACATACCTTCTTGGATTTCTTCATATCGTTTTATATGTTAAAAAAACATAGATCAACCAAATATATTGATTGCGAACAATGAGATATACATGTGTATATATGTATTCGAACAAAAAAAAAATAAATAAATAAGCACCAACAATAGAAGATAAAAATCAAGATATAATCAATGCCAAAAAAAGAAGAAGAAGAAGAAGAAGAAGAAGAAGAAGAAGGATCCGAAAGCCACAGGAAACATCGAACAGAACAGAAACTGTGTACTAGAGCAAAGGATAATCTGAGCAAGAAAAAGAAATTGGTATATATAGACGAAGAAGAGAGATCGTTTCTCGCGTTTTAATCAAGATGCATCCGTTATGTCGACAACGCTGCTGTTTTTCCATTGCTACTGCTCAAATGTCAAAAGCGTTCTGTTTTGTTCTTTTCCAGTATGTGTCCTCAAGAGATTGACTGTTCTTCCTTTTCTTCTCTGCCTTTTTCTATCTCCTATGACTAGTCCAGCCTTAACACTCGCCGCCATCATCATTGAAACTACATCAGCCGTACAACGATTAGTGTACGATGACTATAGCCGTCATCATCATTCTCGATTATAATCGAATTTGTTCGGTATATATGCGTTTTCGTTCTTGTCTTTTTTATTCCCTCGGGTAGTCAATGTTGCTTGCTAAAGAAAACGAGTCCGAAGAAAAAAAAAATCACTAATCTACTCACTTCATGGAAACATCCCATTGAGTCAAATTTATTCGTCATTTGTCGCAATGATGACGGTCGCATAATATGTGCCTGTTCTTGGTCATGATTATTTGTTGTTTCATGTGTTTGTCGTGAACGAGATAATCGTTTTACTGATGAAAAACTTGAACGTGGTGAATCACCGGATGTAGCTGTTGCTATTGTTTGGGACATTATATTATTATTATTATTAGAAGTGTTATTTGTTGATTGTCGATTAAATTTTGTTGCTGTAAAAGCAGATGGACCACGCAAACGATCATAAAATGGATAAGAAACAATTTGTGGTATAAGAACAAGATGATCTGATTGAAAATTTTGAAATTCAGGTAAATTTATTATTATATTTGTTGATAATTTTTGTTTTGTTTTTGGTAATAAATCAAGATATTCGTCTGTATTTAATTGTCGAATTTGATCTTTTCGAAATTCTTTTTTTTCTAATGAAATTAATTTTAAAGAATTTTTATCACGACAATTTCTACGATTAGTACTTGATGAACGTGGTTCAATTTTATTTTTCATATTTTCTTTATCTAATAATGATTCCAAATATTCATGTCTACTGAGTATAGCTGGAGCTGATAAAGCAATACCAGCTGATACAGCTGCTTGTTTCATTAATGATGAACGTGCAGGGCGATGACTTGAAACAGAACGCTAAAATAAAAAAATAAAAAACGACATTTGTTTAAAATTTCAATTTTTATATATAGAATTTATCCAAATAAGTTTGTTGTATTTTTTTTTTTTGGAATGAGTTATATGGTTAAGAAGATAGAGCAAAAGCAAAGATTAGACAATTTGATTAGTTTATAAGAGCACCTATGTTTTCGCTTTTCTAAGTTGAGATTAATTGGAATTTGATAAATAAAAAGAAGTAAAAAAGAAAAAAAAGAAGGATTCGAATATTATGATTTCAAGGTTTTTTTTTTCTTCTCTTATGTTAATTTAATTTAGAAATTTACTTTTCTATGGTTACTATAATTACTTAAATGAAAATTTTCTAAATTAAAAAACAAAATCTTAAGTTAGATCTATGATTTGTTACCTGAAGAAATCTTTCATCATAATCATATTCATCTCTAGGCTATGGATTATTCATATATAAATTATCCATAATCAAAATATAAAAATAGTTCAACTCGGAGAAACTCTATAATCTTGTTGCGTATCGACTCTAGAGATATGATGGTTTGTAATAGGCTAATATATTTTTGTTTTGTAAATGATAAAAATCACGTCGGAAAAAATCTATCATTTGTTTTCTTGTTTCAAATTCAATAGAACTATTCTATTTGAGATACACATGAAACTTTGTATTCAATAATGTTGTCTAACTAAATTTGTTTTGCTCTGTGCATGACTAAAAATAATAGCCTTACAAAACATTATAAGAAAGCCTGTACCAATACTATGCTAAAATTAGAACACACTAACATAAACATACAGGAAAACATCTTCCTGTATCCTGATGCTTGTGGGTTGTAATTTAATATAACGTTTGGTCTATTCCGAACACGAGTAATCGATTATTAGTCGATTGATGATTATTTTACAAGACTTTTTTTTTTTTTATTTCTTCTATCGAATTTCAAACTAATATAAATTTTTGTGTAAATAATTGAAGACAAAAAAAAAAGTAATTTTAAATAATAATTATTAATTAATATTTAAACACATGTATTTTTGTATGATTAATGAAAAATGTTGCAAAGTTTTAATTTCTTTTTTTGTTTTTTAAATTCTTCAGTGTTCTCTTTTAATTTTATTAATAAAAACATTTTTATACATAATTATAAAAGAGAAATAGAGATATAATTTATTCATATCTTTATTCAATGTATTAAGTCTATAAAGAAAAAAACAAAAAAAGCTTGCTTATTTCTTTTTTTTCCTTTTGCTTTACTCTACTATATTTGTTCTTTATCAAGGAAATAAAAGAAGAAGAATTGATGAATAAAGGGCAAGTATTTCTTACTATCCTCGTAATGAAAAATAATAATCGAATAAATTCCTCATTAACTATATCAAAGAAAATCCTATTAATCTCATCCTACTTTGATCTACACAAAGAGGATATATATATATGAAAATAATTTTCTTTTTTATATTAGCTAATCAAAAAAAAAAAAATTCAATTATCAATTCATTGCTAAATGACCTATATTATGATTGATATAATATGCTAGAATGTTAAATTTATTCTGTATCTTTGACCTTTTGTTTATGATTAGAAAAGCAAAATCGATTGAATTCAATTCTATTGTTAGTATATATACATATATGATCAATTTACCTCAAAGATAACACTTTAAAACTAAATAAACAAATGATATTCTAAATATTTATATAGAGAATAAACAAATATAAAAGATATATATATATATAATTACCTGATGATTATTAATCATGACATTTTTTCCTGTACTTTTACTGCGTGATGTACGTTGATTTATTTGATTATTATTATTATTATTATTATTATTATTTATATCTTGATCACTATCAGTTAAGATTTTATCATCATCCTTGTCATTTTTAAATTTTGGATATGGTAATGGTTTTGATAAACTTAATTTAACTGGACCAATGGGTGTTGATTTTAATATTTTAATAACATCATCTAATGTCATATTTTCAAGTGTTATATCATTAACAGAAACTAAACGATCACCTGGAACAATTCTTCCATCTAATTGTGCAACACCACTAGGTACTAATGCACGTATAACAATAACAGGTGAATAACTTGGATTTGATGGATCTTGATAATCAAGTACAGAAAATCCAAGACCATATTCAGTTTTATGTAATTCAATATCAATAATTGATGTTGACCATAAAGCTAAATTTGAAATAACTTCAAGTGAACGAGATTTATATTGTTTTATTGTACGTATTGATGATGATGGAGTAAGATTTAATAATGAATTTGGTGAATCTAATGTTCCCATACTTTTAGCTTTAACAACAATTTCAGCTGTTTTACCAAATGTTATTGAATGTGAACGATTATGATTATGAATATTATTTTTTATAGATATTTCATTTGTTTGAGAAATTTTACGACGAGCACAAACAAGTTTAACTTGATGTTTAACACGTTTAAGAATTTCAATAACATGTATATGATTTTTTCCATATAAAATTTGATTATTAACCTTTGTAAAAAAATAAAAGAAAAGAAAAAAAATACAAATAATTATTTTCAATATTCTAAATTAAATTTCCTTACTTCTAAAAGTTCATCACCGGATTTCAATGTTCCTTCTGTACCAATAGGTCCATCACGTAATAATGCACGTATATAATGATGTGGTCGAACTTCTTCACCATTTTCAATATCAACAGTACCTTCAAGTGTTATTCCAAGACCACCATTATCAGGTTTATAAACATCAATTATTAATATATCATAATTATTTCCTAAAACTTTAGTCCATTTTTGACGTATTTGTTCATGAATATCTATTGGAGATTGAAATTCAAGTTTTTCTTGAAGTTGATGTGATGATTCAAGTGCTTCAAAAATAAAAAAATAAAAATTTTTCTTTGAAAACAAAAACAAAAAAAAATCAATATTACCAATCATTTCTTTAATTTTTTCAAATTTAATACCATCAAGATAACGTCGAACTTTAAGTCGTACAGATGAACTTGTATTTTGTAATAAATAAAGTGCTTGAATATTAGAAAATCCATTAAGTGATTGATCATTAACTTCAATTATTTGATCACCTATTGCTAAACGACCATCACGAGAACATACACTACCTTCAGCTATATCACGAATAAATATACCAGCTATGGCATCTAAATATAAAACAAAAATACAAATCGAAGGATTAAAAAGAAAAAAAAGAAAATTTATTTTTTTTTTTGTTTTTTGCTTTAATAGGTAGTTTTATATAGACGCAATAGAAATGAGAAATGATACAAACAATATAGACTCAATTATCATCTTAGTTCAATCATGCATAGAAGTTACTTATCAATAAAATCAAACCTTCCGGTTTTTTTTCCTTTTAGTAATTCAAATGTAAGGTTTTAAATAAATTTTGCTTCAATTATACTTCCTTTCTCATTTTCTCGTTTTTATAATCTATCCGAAAAAAGAAAAGAAAAGAAAAGAAAAACAAAAGTTATTTTACCATTATTCGTAGAATCAGGACTGACATAACCGGCAACAGTAATACCTAAACCATCATCACCTTTTTCCAATGTTACATCCAATAGTTGTGTGCCATCTTCATATTGACACTAAACATATTGATACAATCAAATAACGACAGTTTGATATATAGATATATGTCGAGAGAGGAACAAGTAGCTTCTTTAACATAGTATTATTAGATCTGTAAGTGCTTTCTAACGCTCAGTTCTAAAGCAGGCGCAAAAAAAAGATGTGGAAGATTAACAATCGACAATCGACTCGCACTCGTCTTGCTTCTTTAATAGAATCGACGGCATAGACACGCACTTTGACTAGGGTGAATGCTTGTTTCTTTTTTTCTTCTCTCTCTCTCTCTCCTTCTCTCACTCACATCCTCTCTTTTCCAACTAGTAGAACTATCAGAACAACCTGTCATGCTTATGTTGTGTGCAAAGACGCTTGAGTCGAGAAGTTGACGAGAATGACGAAGGGTGAAGAAAAGAAAGTGCCCAAAGGATCCGAAAGATGGATGGAAAAAGAGGAAAGGATGCTAAATAAGAAGGAGAGAATATATATATATATATGAGTTGGAGGAAAGTGAGAAAGACGTCTCATACATGCATCTAGTCTCGTTTAGAAAGATAATTAATCGCTCTCTTTTTCTTTCCTGCTATTTTATAATATTAATAAAAATTAGATATATAAACCTGTTCACGGAGATTTTCAAAAATTTTTTCAAAATTATGATTGCTTTCAAGTAAACGTTCAGTACGAAGTACAATTCGATTTTGTGAATCATTTATAATTCCATCATTATCAGTAATCATTGACTGAGAAGGTGTTGTTGTTGATAATGTATTATCATCTGTTGTTCGTGTCAAATTTTCTAATGTTGATAATGGACTTTGTGCCACTAATGGCTGTTTATTCATCGTTATGTCAGTTGCTGTTGCTGTTGTTACTGTTGAAGATGCTGTTGGTTCACGTACACTTCGTGCAACAACAAGACGAACTTGTTGAGAGCATTGTCGAAGTATACCAGCTACTTGTTCAGAACTCATACCACGTACACAAACATGGTTTATTTGAAATAAGTGATCACCCGTACGTATACGACCATCCTAAATTGAAATAGACAAAAAAACGGATATTAGGAATTTTTGATGTATTGATCATAAGATTGGTAGTATATATAAGCAAATGACTGGGTTGTCTTTCTCGACCGTGCTATTTTCTCTTCTCGTTCTATCATTCTTTTTTTTTTGCTATAACGATATATACATACTGGCTATCATTTATTAGACCAATTTATTTTCTTCCTTTCATTCCCTATCCTTTTTTTTTATCAGGTTTTCTTTCTATCTGTCTGTCTTCTTCTTCTTCTTGTGTCTATATGTTTTCTTTTGTTGGAACAATTGTAAAAAACCAGCTGGAAAGGAAGAAAATATGAATATATAATTAAAAGAAAAAAAAAGAGAAGTAATATAATATGATTAACTAGGTATTACTTTATCGACAATTGAACCAGGCACAATTGCTTTGACAACAACACCCGTTGACTTATTACCAGTAATGCCAAAGCCTAGCCCGGAGCCGTCGTTGGTTAATTCGACAATTTCAATTTGTGTCCACAATGTATTTAGCTAAATAAAATAAATATAAATTAAATAGAGATATATATCATATGTATATATCTATTTGTTTATCTGTGCAATTAATCATAGTCTTACCACCATGTCGACGTGAGAAGGCGTCGACAATGTCGGAACACAGCTGTGTCCGTCGTTGTTCGACGTTGCCACGGCCGCATGAGGATAATCAGTAGTTGTAGCAATGACAACAAGTTCAATAGATAAACGTGTTAAATCAAGAAGAAGTTGATGAGCACGAACGGCAAGTGTTGAATCTTGTGAATCCAAATAAATATTGTTGATACACACAATTTGATCGCCTATTCGTAGTTGACCATTTCTAAACAAAAATCAAAAAAAAAATAAATAAAATAAAAGATGAAATATACACATCATTATATGTACGCATATTCACATCATCAGAGACAATCTTGGCTTCACACACAAAATTCTCAATTTAGCGCCAAGAGAAATAGGCGAACAAGAAGAAGCAAGAAGAGAAGAAGAAGAAGAAAAAAAAGAATGAAAAAAAAAAACCATTCTATCTTTGTAGTCCATCAACGTCTTAGATAATTTAATTTTCATGATAAAATATCCATCGTGTGCACGTAAACCAACAATCTACATCCTTGTTATCATCTTTTTGTTAGCCCTATTATTAACATACAAAATGTTAAAAAAACACGTTTCATATGGTGTGACTTTACTGTTAGCTATAAATCATATATATCTTCTCACTTTTTTTTATTATATATATATATAATAATAATAATAATAATCATAGTGATAATAATAATAGTTCTTACTTGGCTGTCAATAATAATTTTTTTTCTCATATGTCCTATTAGATAATAGAGCACAAAGCTAGGTGCGTTCATTGTAGTCTTATAATTAATAAACCTGCTGCTATTTCCTATTCATGATGATGTTGATGATGACAGTGATGATGATGATGATGATGATAATGATCTATTCCTTCCGCTCTTTTCTTATTTCTTATATTTTTTTTTCTTTTTATATTCAACGGGTTTATCCTTTGTGACAATAGTAGATGATCTCTTGAGACCTACGCAAGACGATTGATTCTTTCTTTTTTTTTTTTTCATATATATACACTAAAAACTAAGAATAAAAAAAGTGTTATCGATTTTTTTTTGTTCTTTTCTTTGTTTCATAGATGGCACTAAATTGAAACATATTTACTATCTCCAAAAAAACAAAAAAAAAAAAATTTTTTTTTTTTTTCTAGATCCATTCTTGAGGCAAACTTGTCAATGTATATTTCTCTTTTCGGCTTTTATGTGCGTGCCGACAACTGTCAAAAGTGGCAGAGCATAGAGCATATACGCTAGAAAAGTACAAATAGAAAAAAGATGGTTGTTACTCTCGCGGCATGCATTCTTCTATCATAGAACAAAAAAAATTGACACGATAGAGCAAAAGAAATTATTTGTAAATCATCTCTTTTTCCATTGCCTATATCATAAAAGAATAGAAAACATGATTTGTTGGCATTGAAGGTCATAAAAGAATGAAGCATGCAAAAAAGAAATTTTATTAAATGACATTCTTCATAAAAAAAAAACAAGCGAGTAATTAATATATTTATTTATCTTGTGCATAACTATGTAATCAAAAATATGCAATAATGATGTCGATTATAATAGCTATCAATGCAATTTTCGATTAATTCTTTTTTTTTTGTAAATATGTCGATAGAAAACAGATCATGGATCTTTTGCTAATGAGAATCCCATGAGAGATAAAAAAAAGGAGAAAACCTGAGATAAAAAACAGGTGAATAACTCAAGGCATGAAAAACAAACTTGATAGGAAAAGAAAATAGCGAAGAACTTACACATCAGCAAGGCTATTCGGTTGAATATCATCAATAAAAATTGCATTAATACCCAATAATCGATGTTTATATGCGATTATATTAAATCCTAATGATTCGTCGGGTGTTTTTTTATTCAAAATAACTTTTCGAATCGCACTTTCATCCGATAAATGATCGTTGTTCTCAATATCTAAAATAATTTAATCATATTTATTTTTGCATTATTAAAAACAAACAAACAAACAAATAAATAAACTATACCTGAATTCGTTGTTTTATCGTTAATTAATGTCAAATGACCTTTTATATCAAAATCAAATAAACAATTTTTTATTAAATAATTTCCTTTTTCAAATTCAAATTTTATCTGTTGAAAAGATTCTTGTAAATTATATAATGTATTAAATAATCGACTATCAAGAATTTGTTGTAATGAATTAATATTAGCTTGTTCTTCACAATTATTATGTTGATATAAACGTTCACTCAATCGTTTTAATATTGTACTGGCTTCTGAATAAAGAAAACAAAATGTTCAAAAAGACACTTTCAAACTAATTAAAGATCTTGTTACCACATAGTTGAGCCATGATAATAAAAATAGATAATGAACCGAATGCATGACCCGAATTCCTCTATTGATAAATATTATGATGTTTCTTTATCCTTCTCTATAATAGTTGACGGAGACGTAACCGATGGAAAATCGACGATAGCAAGCTTTCCAGAAAAAAAAAGAAAAAATGATGCCGTAAGACTACAAACGATCGATCGATCGATTGGATTTGTTTACGTTTTCTTTTTTTTTCCTTTTTCTTTCTCTTTTTTTTTCTCTATTCCTTTTTTATTATTCAAATAGATTTTATTGGCGAATAACAAATAACTAATCAATGAAAAGCGCTACAGTGTCACAAAGAAGAAAACACAGTGAATCGAGAAAAAAAAAGAAGTTTATATGTTTTTTTAATTACTAAATGGTCTTTTTAACACTACGTATGAACGAAAAATACGATAAAGAAAGTCATGAATAATAATAATCTAGTTAGAAATTTTAATATAGGCTAATCAAATACAACATGTAAATATTAGTTAATCGCTTTAAGAGTTGATTATGTTGATGTTATTATGACATAATATACTTTTTTTCTTGTTTCTAATTCTTATTTATAAAATGAAAACTATTGTATCAGAATAATAATAATTATTTTTTCTAGAATGGTGAAATTTATTTAAGTTTATTTAATTAAAAAAAGTATTGGCTGGTTAATCAGTCTTGGTCCATTCATCGCCTGACGCATTGTGTGATATAAATGACAAAAAAAAACCACAAATAAATATCACTACAGAGATATTATCATTCAATGGATTTATTAGGTAATATTTATAGGTTTAGAAAACTCTTTCTATTCAAAAATACTTATATTTTATCAAGAAATCTATAAAATACTTTATCATACTGTTATAAACGTAAAATCTTCATGATTTTTAATCATATTCTAGTTGTTTCATATAATATTTTGAGCTCGAGATAAAGTTTACAACTAGTGAAATTTTTCTATTTTTCTTTGATAGGTTCTACAGATGTTGGTATGTTGAATTTAATTTCTTATAATTGTATTTGATGAATATTAATTATTTAGAGTAAGTGTATTCTATATGATGACTTGTCGTTTTTTTTCTTCTTCTTCTTCTTTAATAATGACATCTCAAGATTAGTTTTTAATTTAACATAGAATAATTACTGATTGTTTTGAAGATGATGAATATGTCATTTCTTTTGAGATTTACGTATATGTGTTAAGAACACAATTCAATTTAAAATATTAATACAAAGAATTATTCAAAACAAACGCTTGTCTTCAATTAAAAATGACTCGTAAAGATGAATTTTCATCAGTATCTAAAAACTGAAAAAAATACAAATTTCTAAATTGTTGAAAAGATGTCAACAAAATTATGATACATTTTCGATGGACCTTGATTTAATCATTAATTCAATCAGTGGTCTATATTTTCTAATCGATCGAGTAAAGAATTTTCGAAACTATTTTGTTCAATCAACCATTCATTCATCAGTAATAATTTATAATTGCCTATGATTGACTGAGAAATTGTTGTTAATATGTTATTTTGCTTTTCTAAAATTGTTAAATTATCTATATTAGAAGAAAATTTTCTATTTTTTAGTATTTAGATGAGTTTTATCTTGATTGAATATTTTATAGAAATTTTCAATAACTAAAATTTCATGCTTCATATGCTATACATCTCTAGATATTTCAATATTCTGTAATTTCTAAGTATGTTGAGATAGACAGTTTAATAAACTATGACAAGATTCAGAAAAATATTGTTAAAGTCCGATCTCATTAAAGTTTGACGTAAGCATTGCAAATAGGATTAGAGAGAGTGAAAATAAGTTGTCATGAAAAAGAAAAGTATGACTTGATATATTTTTGTATTTACTTCGAATACATTCTGAATTTTATTTCTCAAGAAAAACAACATTATAGTTTTTATCAAGAAATACGCATGATGAAGAATAAGAGTAGAGGTTTTTTTTTCTATTTTAAATACTTCATATTGAAGTACTAAAATATTGATTCAATTACTTCATGTTTTTATATACTTCAATGAACTTTTATGCGTTTTATGTATATAAGAGTATCGAATGGAATCTATTTTGAGAGTAGAAAAATTATTTATTCTTTATTTTAATTGATTTTGAACAAATCATTTTCTATCAAAATTTCTTTTTCTGTTTCTAGAAATCGATCCTTGGATTATAATATAATTTATTTTTATCTTGCCTTTTTAATGATTTGCTACTGATTAGTTATTATAAACAATATTTGTAAGAAATAGAAGTTTCGAATGATCGAGAAAATGTATGATTTGTTTATATGTATGGTTAAATATTCACATATTTTGAATATTGAAATAGAATATCATAAATTATTAGTAATGAAATAGTTTCATTTCCGATTTTATTTTCTTTTTTTTTTTTGATATATAACACTCCGGTAATTTTTCTATTGCGTCTGGTTTTTGTTGTTCGAGTATTCTTGTTTATGTCTTTTATTCATTTTTTACCTATTCTTTTTCTCTCTTCATGAAAAATTCATATATATATGAAATAGAAACAGTTGATGGAGATTGATTTAATATTATCTATGAAATTTTAATAAAATAGTTAATTTTTATTTTGTTACCATTGTCAAATTGTGTATTTACAGTGACTGTCAAAATAACCCAACCAGTAGATAATTTTATTTTGTGTATATTTCAATAACTAGATGAAGTAGAATGATCTGATTTTCATCAATTTACAGTCTATAACTTTCTAGTATATTAGCAAAAAAAATCCAGGTCAATCCATTGATCTATTTAGTTTTTATTGACGATAGAAATACAGCATGTCAGTTTTCATGTTTTTAGAATTATTCAACTTCAATTTATATTTTTGGAAACTGCTAAGTGTCTGTTTCTATGTTAAAATAATTTTTTATGAGACATGACTCAATTGAACAAATTATACTTTACATAAGAAGTACTTGTTATTGTAATTTTCTTTTGAGTATATTTTTAAAAATAATATCTTTTTTTAGTCTCTAATGAAAATTTTAAACAACAAGGCGATAGAACACTTTTTCTTTTATGTGATATTTAGACAATTTATTGTTCAATATAGCATTAATAAGAGTACTATAAATTGCATGAATTATTCTATTTGAATAGATATTTCATGTTGAAAAATTGTGTTAGTCATCTTCTATGTATACACTAATCATAGATAAATCTTGTTGTACTGTCTCCTTCACGTATTGAAGGATATGTAAAAAATACTTTAAAAAGCAGAGATTTCTAGAGAATCTTTTTCTATACAAAACTCGGATATTTGAAATAAAAATTGATTATATTACTTAAGTTATAAATAGCAAGAATAAGAAGTCTATTGTAGTCTCAACAGTGCAGAACTCATTAAATACATAGCTAATTGTTACGCGCCACATCTATGTAGATATAGAATGAAATTTAGAACAACATATATGTTAAGTTTCATTTGATACATCACTGTTTGATAAAATATATTTTCATTCTGTAGCTGAGACTACGGTAAGCTTTTTATCCCTGTTATATATAACTTAAGTAATATAATCAGCTTTGACTTCAATTATAAAAGTTTTATATAGAAAAAGATTTCCTACAAATTCATTTTTTTAAGACAATTTTTTATACGTCTTTCAATACGCGAATGAGATCATACAAGAAGAGTTTCCTATGACTAGTGTATGCATAGGAGATGATTAACATAATTTTTCCACATGAAATATCTATTCAAATAGAATAATTCATGTAATTTATAGTTCTCCTATTAATGCTATATTGAATAATAAATGAAATAAACATCATATGAAAAGAAAAATATCTTTTATTGCCTTGTTGTTAAAAATTTCTATTATAGGTGAAAAAGACATTGTTTTTAAAAATATACTCAAAAGAAGATTACGATAACAAGTGCTTCTTACGCAGAGCATAATTTGTTTCATTGAGTCACGACTCATAAACAGTTATTTCAACGTAGGATAGGCACGTAGTAGTTTTCAAAAATATGAAGTGGAGTTGAGTAATTTGACAAGGATGAAAACTGACATGCTGTGATTGTATCATCAATAAAAACTAAACAGATCAATGAATTGATCTGGAATTTTAAACTACTATACTAGAGACTATGGACTGTAATCTTATGAAAATTAAATCATTCTAGTTCATCGAGTTTTTAAGATATACGAAAAATAAAATAATCTACTAGTTGGATAATTTTGACAATCCAAAAACAGCAAGACAAAAGATCAATGTATATCGTCTTTTGATTATGAAGAAATATTCATAATTAATTCTTATTAGGTATTCAATTATGTTTAAAGTCATTATTTATGTATGAAATATTCCGTAAAGTTAGTTGAATTATGTATTGCTAAATCAAATACAAATCTTTCATTATGATATATAGTTTGTTAATAGAATACTTTTATTTCATTAAGAAATTATTTATTTTTTTTAATAAATATGTAAAATTGTTCTAAATTCATTAATATTTAAATGACAACCGAAAGATTGTTTAAAAAGTGATTAAGAACACACATATTGTGATATGATTAAAGAAATTTAATTGATATTTTGTAAACTATAAAGATAATCGAAAAAAAACATCAGTGATACTAAAATGAAATTTTTGTTTTTAAATATCTATTTGTTTAAATGAAGTACCAATACTTAAATAGTAACAAGAAATTTTAAAAAAAAGTATTTTAAAAAAAATTATTATTTTAGAAAGAAATTAACGAACATTTTAAATATTTCAAATTTAAAGAAATAAAAAGAATTCTAGAAATAATTATTGAAAATAAACAAAAACTAGTTTATACTGATTGTGGTTTCATCAGTAAAATAAAATTTATTGTTAATATTTCATTTTTATTTTGTAACAAACCAAAATTTATACTTGAACCTGTAACACTCATTGATCGACATGATACACACTGAAAGATAGAATTCCCAATGATTGATTGATTAACTCGCTATCCTC